TTGGGCAACAGTACTCCAGTTCCTGATCCATAGGATCGTCCGGGCATCTTCTGCTACGACATCCATCCATCTAAGACGCGGTCTTCCTCTACGCCTGTTGCTATGAATATACTCACTCATTATTTTTCTGGGGATCTCACCCTCTGACATTCGTCTGACCTTAAGCCTGGAAAGATAGCCGAGCTTGTGCAAATGTTTTTCTACTGTTGTGGACGACCCATTTAGGGCGATAGCAATCTCTCGCACTGATTGGATGGGATTTTGATCAGCAATGGCCTTAACATTGCTCGTTAAACAAAATTTCTTCAATGAAATTTGACAAATCAATTCAGACAGGTGCGTTCGGTTAAGGCATCATCCCCATAAACACTGCATATTTTTCTACGAGCTTCTGCAGCACGCTTACCTTTCTTAAAATAATACAACAAAATCTGCCGATAATGAATGATATTTTCTTCCATATTCACAGTGCACTATACTTCGCTAATTTCAACAAAAGTTAACAGATATGAATAGAATATTACGGAACAGTCCACCTTTGGGATTAATTCATCAGACAAGAAGTGTATCGTAGGTACATAAAAATAAACGGAAAACGCGAAAAATCCAATATTTAACAACAAATTCGAACTATTATCAACTACACCTCCCTTTTACCCTCCCGGTCTATCATGTCTCGCTTTACCAATTTAAATCTGGTCGCATCACTGTTGATCCGCCGTGGATTAAAGTGACAATATCTTATCGTGCTGTGAAGTTATGATCATGGCTTATCTGGAATCAGGAATGCTTGTACCCTGAAGGACCTCTTCCCGGTCTTCATTAAGTTATGTAAATTTAATTAATTAATATCTAAAAATATTATAGAACTATATGTAAAGATATCTTACATTAGTACAGTCTACACTGCCTGGCCGGGAGAGGGATCGATTAGTTAGCTCGACTGGCTCCTAAATATCGATCTCGTTAGCAGCGGCCAAAGAGAAAGGAAGCACCGCAGCGAATTGACTAATTACATCACCAGATGACTCCTTACTTCTTTTTTTTTGGTTGGAATCTGTTTAATGGAGGGCAATGAGCGCTGCGTGTCGATGCTGAATCAGCAGCCACTCACCGCTAACCTCAATTGTTGTAAAATTAGATCTTTGCCAGATTCAATAAAAAATTATTAGTCTTCTGGCTTTTGTTTTAGTTAATTATTATTCCATTTTAATTATTAATCTAGAATTCTCCAGTGAGAACTCTCCCGTTAGATAGGTTTTACCGATCTAGATCCTTTTACCTTATTCATTCGACTTAAAAATAACATCAGCCAAACCTTTTTTATTCGTATATACAATATAATATTATCAAGATAGTCTTTACAACATACACAGTTGATGAAGTTTCATACTTTATCATAACTGTTAAAATATCCATTTACTTAATAGCTGATTAGATCGTCCCGCTTGAAAATATCCATCTTGTTCCATATTTAGACTATAAGATATCTACTTTTTCTTGTACAAACTTGCATTAATCCATTATTGTACTCTCTCAAGATGCGTAAGTGCATACTTTTCATTCTGGTTGCAGAAGAGGGGGGCAATAAACCCTTCCTCCCCCCCAAAAAATCCCGAGATTTTAAATTATCAAAAAAATTATAATCGTCCAAAAATTAAAATATTTAACCCTCCCCCTCAAAATTTGAGGTTTTACTTTTTTTTTCTTTGTTATTTGTCAATGATGACTTACAATCAAACAACAATTGAATTTATTTGTTGTATTTCCAAATTACATGTTTACAAGTTAACGTTTCGGAATATTTACTCCCATCTTCAGAACTACAATCCCAATGATTTTTTGTTAATAATTGGCTAAAAAAAATTGAGTTAAAATATAGTGCATGTTACAATACATGTCAGAATTGGGTTGTAACATTAAAATTGTAATTACTGTATTCACCATGGCAGACACCCAATAATTGGTCTAAAAGTATGATGTTGCTCTGGATGTTATATATCTTAATTTATTATAACTTGAATTGGAACCTGACGATGGAGCACATTAGATTTAAGGTAATTACAAATTTAATGTAACAACCCAATTCTGACATGTATTGAAACATGCACTATATTTTAACTCATTTTTTTTTAGCCATATATCAACAAAAAATCATTGGGATTGTAGTTCTGAAGATGGGAGTAAATATCCGGAAACGTTAACATGGAAACATGTAATTTGGAAATACAAGAAATAAATTCAATTGTAGTTTAATTGGAAGTCATCATTGCCAAATAACAAAGAATAACATACAATTTCCCAGAAAAAAAAAATACAAAAAACATAAAAAAGTTGAGGTTTTACGTTTCACGGTACGTAGAATTCGAAATTAAAATCGATTTTTTTTTTGTCCGTCCTACATCCGCGGCTTTTCTCCGAGACTACCGGACATATTTATTTCAAATTTGGAACCACAGTCAGAGGTCACCCGAAGATGATCCTCCTTCAACGACATTACTATCCGCCCTTTCCTTCCAAGATGACGGCCGAAAAACCTGTGTTGGTATAGGCTGTTGCGCCTGAATGAACGTACCAATTTCAATGAAACTTGGTCTTCTCCTTGATGACCTTTTAATTATCTTTATAACGTACTTCAACGAAAAGAAGTTGGAAAACAAGTTATGAGGGGTGGTAAAATTACATTTCCGAATAACTCAGAAATGAAACACTTTCTTGTGTTTGTTTTCTATTGGGTTATTTTATTCTTAACCTAAATTTTAGAGATAACGCTGTGTGCTTGGAATTCTTCATGTTATAAAAACCTAACATTAACCTATAAGGTTTTGTATTCAATAAAACATTGAGCCTTTTGTTAACATGTGTAATTATACCAATTTTTTTTTCAATATGGATCTAGTACACTAGCGGATCCAGGATTTAATTTCGGGGGTGCTTCAGCCCGATTTTTTTTTTTTCATATATATAACAATAATTAATTTGAAAAAAAAAGGAAAGAAATTAACTACCTATATGAAAGGGTGTTTAAGTGGTTCTTGAAGTCCTATTAAATGTAATTACACGAACAAGAATACTTTAAGAGATAGTTTATCATATTTTTTTCCGTAAAACGTGGTTATATTTTACCAATTTGGGGGGCTTCAGCCCGAAATCCCTTTCCCCCCGTAGATCTGCCTGTGATCTAGTATGTCGTAATCCCTCGTATAAACTATGAATGATCTACTATCGAAGTTTACATCGTTAAAATCCAGAGCTATAGAGTCGATTTAAATTGAAAAAAAAAAACCGTTTACCTGGACAAAGAGGTCAATGCTAAGGTCTTTAAAAGGAATATGCAAAACAAGCGAGCATCCAGCAGGTGGACACTGTCCCTCCCACTTCCTCTTCCGCCGCCGACAGGAAATACCAACCGCCAACGGCTCCATGATATCGACCTACAGGTGCCGAAATATATAACGTGCTCATAAAAATATAAAACGTTATCGTGATAAGCCATTTTAATACTGCGATGTAGAGGCAGTTAACCCAGAGGCCATCTCATCGATGTTATTGACGGATTGAATTCAGGTTTTATTTAGTACACGGGCGGATCTACGGGTGGGGGAGGGGCTTTCGGGATGAAGCTCCCCCCAAAATGGAAAAATATAACCGTGTTTTATGGAAAAATATATTAAAAAGTTATCTCTTAAAGTATTATTGTTCGTGTAATTAAATTTAAAATCACTTAAGGAATCACTTAATTACCATTTCATATAGGTAGTTAGTTTCTTTCTGTTTTTCCAAAGTAATTATCGATATTTTTAAGAAAAAAAAAGGTTTCGGGCTGAAGTCCTCCCCAAAATTAAATTCTGGATCCGCTAGTGATTTAGTAGGACGGCTTATTATTTTATTTTTATTTTTAAATAAACAATAATTATAGGAAAAATAAAGCTTTTAGAGATGCTATTTTTGTATTTTTCCTCGACGTGTGCTTACATTTAATAGCTGAAGCTTATGCGTTATAATTTAAACAGATAACATGTCGGTTTATTGCAAGAAGCCATTAAGTAGATTTTTGATGTAGTTGAAGTTTTAAGTAGGTTTTTGTGGATTTGACCCTTATTTAGTGATAAAAAAAAATATATGAAGTTCACTAAAATGACACAAACCCGTTTGTATATCAAACATAGTTACATCAAGCACACACTTTTATGATTTAATAAAGAAAAAATTCTTCAAAGATATCAATTATTTAAGGTTATGTCATTTAATGACTTCATCTAATTAACCGACAATATTCCTCCTGCCCCCCTTTGAAACTTCTTGTGTTATTAGACTTTAATATCAATTACATAAGGCATTGCCCAGGTAAGGTAGGTACTCGTATAAGTGTTATACAGATAGATGGACAGTTGCCGACTTACTCTTATGTACAGCCTTTCAAGAAACTCCAATCACGCAAGTTTCAGATCTTTAGTGCCCTCCTGTACCTCATGACTAGCCCATGTATCTTGAAGCCCTTGAATTTTTCATATATATATATATATTTTTTTTTTTTTAATCTCTTTTGATCAGAAATATTTTTAAATATTACGTTAACCCATGGACATCATGAACTATCATCAGATTTTTTTGGTTTGTGCTCTGACATCTATAACACTGTATTCAGTCACTGTCATTTCAGCGAAATACTTAGAAAATTTGTTTACAAATTTTTAATAAAAAGTATTATACTTCTACAGGTTGTTGAACCGGACAAACCAATATTTTAGTTCAACGTCTTTCATTTCTGGAAAATCAGACAAAGCTACAAACTCTTCTTTAAAAAACAGTGATCCAAGCTCTAGTAGTGAACCCAGGATTTAATTTTAGCTGATGATTTATTTTATTAATTACGGTAATTAATCTGGAAGAAAAAGTAAAATTACATGTATGAAATGATTTTCACACCTGTGTAGAACTAAAGATACAATGTTTTATAACTCGAAGTATGTTTTTATTTATTTATTTGTTTATTTCCAGGGCAACGAACATGAAAGGATATCTTTTAGAAGTATCAACGAGCCGAAATCGGAAGCCACGGCCAGGGAGATGCGGCTGGTGGACGGATCTAGCACGAGATCCGGTAGGCTCCAAGTATTGCAAAATGGACACTGGCGATCTGTCTGTTCCAACTCCAGGAGGTAATAATATATTTATTTAGAAATTACTTTTGTATGTAATGTAATCTAAATATTTTATATTAATACATTATAGTCATTTATAAGAAAGTGCAGTTAGTCTATCAACAAATAATATACATGAAATCCTCAGTACACTCCCTTTCCACAAGATCTCGACCTTCCGATCTTTACATTCTCACAGATCTGCCTCGTTCCAAAACTCATTTATTGCTCGCTCAGTTAATTTTTGGAATTCCCTTCCTATCAAAATTCGGCATTCTTCATCCCTATCTACATTCAAAACCCTCCTATAATTATAATAGATTCCTGTCCCAAAAAAAGTCAGATACCCGCTAACCTTTTATGTAAAATTACATATTATTCATAATAATGTATTTACATACAGCTCATAACTGAAATACTTATTAGGACATTCGACATTATCTTTTTTTTTTTTTTTTTTTTTTAACAGAAACACAGAGTTTACTGCAAAGAAGATTGTAATGTATTTTTTATTTTTTCTAAAAGTGTATATTTATATTTTACAATTTTACGTAGTTATAAGTGTCTTGGCAAGGTTTCAAGAGTTTTGTATATAGATTTTTTTATTTTTTTTTATTTTGTATATAGAATAGAATAGAATAGAAATAGAATAGAAAAATAATTTTATTCTGGGACGAAGTCCCTTCAGAATAACAAAAAAGTACAGAAATTAAAATTTTACATCTGGCCAGATAAAAACAAACATAACAAATTAAGATAATGATAGGTCATTAAAGAAAAGAAAAGAAAAAAATATTGGTTATACATACTATATACAAAATAAAAAAAAAAAATCTATATAAAAAACTCGTGAAACCATACTAAGATATTTAAAACTATGTACGATGTTAAAATATAAATAAACCCTTTTAGAAAAAATAAAAAATACAGAAAAAATAAATGTATATTCTTCTTAACAGTAAAATCTGTTTCTGTTGAAAAAGAAAAAAAAAAAAAAAAAAAAAGAGAAAAAGAAAGTCGAATCTATAATAAGTATTCAGGTCATGAGCTATATGTGAATATGGTCTTATAGATAATGTGTAATTTTACATAAAAGATTAGCTGGTGCCTGACTGTTTTTGGGACAGGAATTGGAATAGGAGGGTTTTGAATGTAGATAAGGATAAAGAATGTCGAATTTTGATAGGAAGGGAATTCCAGAAACTAACAGAATGTGCAATAAAGGAGTTTTGGAACGAGGCAGATCTGTGAGAAGGAATGTAAAGGTCGGATGGTCGAGATCTTGTGGAGAGGGAGTGGACTGAGGACTTGAATTGGAGAAGGTTGTAGGCGTAAGGACGATGATTGTTGATGATATGATAGAGGAATGTACCTAGGAAATATTGTCTTCGAATGGAGGGGAAGAGCCACTCTAACTCAGTGTAATGGTGAGAGACATGGTAGTATCTCGGGGCACCAATTACAAATCTCACGCAACTGTTCATTGTATATACATACATATATATATATATATATATACATACATATATAGTATGTATAACTAATATTTTCTTTACTGATTTATCTTTACCTTTACTTTTTATGTTTGTTTTTATTTGGCCAGATATAACATTTTAATTTTGTAATTTTTTGTTATTGTGAAGGGACTTCTTCCCAGCATAAAATTATTTTCTATTCTATTCTATTCTATGAAATATCACGAGCGGATCTACGGGGGGCTTTGGGGCTTAAGCCCTTCCCCAAAATAGTAAAATATAACCTTGTCTTATGAAATAAAATATTAAAAAATTATCTTTTAAAATATTATTGTTCGTGTAATTACGTTTAAAAGGACTTTAGGAATAACTTAAACACCATTTCATAGAAGTATTTAGTTTCTTTATTTTTTTCCAAAGTAATTATCATCATTTTTTTGAAAGAAAAAGCTTTCCGGCTGAAGTCGTCCCCCCCAAAAAAAAATTAAATCCTGGATCCGCTAGTGTCAAGTATTAATAGAATGAAATTATAGTTAAGAAATAATTAAAAAATAAAATAAAATGAACATTAAACAATCTAATGGAAACTATTTACTAAAGCTGCAATATAACGAGAAGTTAGATGGAGAATATGGAGGGGTAGGGGTTCAGTCAAAAGTCACATACAAATATAGGAATTACATTTACTAGTAGGCCCGTGCGAAAATTCGCTCAGCATATTGTTCAGTGGTCAAATAATAAATGAATACGACAAATAAAACAATGCAACCTATCATAAAAGAAATCAATTGTTATTTTATCAATAAATATAATCGACAAAGGAAACAAAAATTAATTTAACACTTCATTAATGTTTGGAACCAACATGTTTACAAATTTCAATAAGCTGTATCTTTGATAAAAATGGTCCGATTTCGATGATTTTTTTTCCCCTTTTTGTAGGAAATTTAATAATCTTTTATATAATCATGGGCATAACTTAGGAAAAAGTGTGTAATTTTGGAGTTGTTTGCAAATAAAGTTTGTTTTCTTTCATAACTTTTTTGCCTGAATTTTTGGGGTGATTGGACTATTTTGCCCGCCTGAAGGAGAAGGAAGCCTTCGAAAATGGTGGCTCAATCTTGAGATTTGGTGAAGAATTAACGATGATATGGCTTGCCGATCAAAAACACCATCGATAAATAATACAAACTCCTCCTCTCTCGATCATAGAGATCTCAAGTCGACGAAATGAGACATATATCCAATGCCAGTACTACAATTAACGTAAGGCTGTGTGGATGCGAACCCTTTGCCTTGTGTTATCTCGAAAATAGTATGTTTTCCGAAGGAACTATGCGGGTCTTGCTGTACACATCAAAATATTCAAAGCCCAATTTGTCTCGTATCGATCTTACAAACCTACCACCGTTCCAGTATTGAAGCCAAGCAAAATGTTTGTATCGACTTTATTTATTTTAGAAAGAAAAAACAAGGGGAGGAGTATGATTCCCTAACCCCCTGTGAAATTCTGAATCCAACTGGTATCCCATTTTCATGGTATTTGAACATGACAGGAGCTTATATTTGGTATAAAACCGATTTCGAGCCTTACTGTAATAATATATGTGAGGATTATTTGCCATAATCTAGATAAAAAGGTAGGTAGGCACACATTATATGTATGATTTTTGAATGCTCCCTCTGACCACCTCCTTAAAAATTAAAGAATTAAAAAGAGAAAATTGTTTTGAAATTCTTATCAATTTACTTCTTCTGATTTTAAGATCAATATATTATATCTAAATATGGAATAATGAAAGTATACCACTATACTTTCAATACAATTAATTGTTTCTTATTATTTTATTTGTTCTTTATACCTTTATAATGGTATATACCTGAATATACCATTATATTCAGTTGTTTATACTGAATACAACTGTATGAAAACTTTGAAAAGTATATATTCAGCCTGTTCAACGAGCAGGATTGTTCTTACTTATTTCTGCGCTGAATGAGTGAAACATGCTGAGTTAATTGTTATCATGTACTATGATGTAGAGTTTATGTCTCACGTTATCATGTATTGTAGAGATTCTTGGCTCTATGTTCGGAATCTTCTATTCCAATAGTTATTATGATATTTTATTATCTTTTGAATAATTAATTTATTATAATAAAATTCTAATGATTGCAGATGGAGTGTGGCGAATATAGAAGTCGCTTGTCGACAGATGGGCTGGGAAGGAGGTAAATGGCTCGGTTGGTTGGACAAAGAACCCGGCCACAAACCCAGAGTTCTCATCCAACTTAATTGCAGCGGCACGGAAACTAATATCAAGCAGTGCGAGCGAGCTCCTAGGAGAATGGGCGGTCCCACATGTGGTATGTTGAATTTAATCATTTATATTTATACTACACCAAGCAAATTAGTTTTATTTATTTTTGTTCTTGACCCACGTAATAATGTATTTACATAGAGCTTTGAGCTACTTGTGAAGCAGGATATCTTTGGGCCACTGTCGCTTTAATCTTTGTTTAGGTCGACCGGTTAATAGAGAGTAGGAAAGTGATAGATAATTTTTGAAGGACTGCATTGTCTATTTTTACAAGTGGGCATGAAGCTTTCAGAAAGGAAAGACGTATTATTATTTTTTTCTATTTCTGGAATCACTTTCTGAGAATAAAGACATAGTTCGGAATGACAACAGATACAGTAGGTGGATTTTTGTTGGAGGAAAGAAGTGCTATATTGTCAGCAAAGCTATAGATGACTCATTCATAAGATGAAAAGAGGAAAACTGAAAAACAATTTGGAAAAATAGTTTGAACCACAGAATTGTATTTTCCCATTCATCAGGAAAAACAATAAAAACTCAGAATAATAATAGAGTGGGGCAGTGATTGAAATTTGTGTATACTGTATTGTTTTAAAGAGGTTTTTTATTTTTGTATTCTAGTGAGATAATTGTTTTTAGTAATAAATAATGGATAAAGATAATTTAGATTTTCAGAAAATTAGTAATAATAAATTAATCTATTGAAGAAGCCATTACGTTTTTTATTGACTGCTTAATTATTATTTGTTCCTAATAGATATATATTTTCTTGATAGATTTTCATCCTGATATCCATATTGAATGCTTTCCTCAACACGTTACGAGCAAAGTTACCAATAACTGGAGGGGAATAAGATTTGAAAATGCTCTCTATAGCAGGTACCTGACATTGGACAACACTCTCTACGTACCTACGAGTCACTCGAGGCTTCAATATGTTGATATTGTGTAAGTTAATCAATTATAATTTTTTTAAGTGTTTGTTTATTATTCTATTATTTAGGATATTTTTAGATTTGACTGTGAATTTTTTATTTGAGTTCATTTATCTGCAAAAGTCGCTATCAGCTAATTTTCTGTTTTTATTAGTAATTTTCAGTAAATAATATAATTTTTATTATCATTTCATTTCTTTGAGTTGATAAGAATATTTATAAAAATGTTTCTCTTTACAGAAATGCTGGTTCTGGAAGTGGTTACAATGCAACTTCTTCTCTAGAAATCATTGGAGTTGCCCCACAAATGTCGTCTATTAAAATAACAGATTCAGCTTATACTGGAATCAACATCACCGATCCACGTGGTCCTGTAAATATTTTGAATTCTACGGTTAGCAATAATCATGGTAATTATTAATTAACTTATTTTTCTTTTTTTTATACTTTAGGTTGAAAGTTCCAATAAACAATAAAAAAAATTTGTTTCTAGGTTATGGTATTTTTGTCAATAGTTCTGATGGGGGAGTTGTAATCGGTGCTACGTTGGTGAGTGAAAACGAAGGAGATGGTATTAAGTACGTATCTCATGAACATTGGCCAAAAAATAGGAGGGATATTCAGGATCTTTGTACGCTCCCAACGACTGCGCAACAGACCTTTCCCATGACTGTAGCCCTTCAGCAAAGTTTGTACTCTGTAGCGACGAAAGAATGCCAAAAGGTAAATTGTATATTGATTAATTAATTTTATTTTTATTGTATTAATTTTATTTAAACAATTAATATATATTTTTTAAATTATTTAGTATTTCTTCACAAATCCTGGATACAAGCTGACTGTGAATTTTTTGCCTATCCAAACTGATCGGAATGGTTCCTGTTCAGTTCAGATTTACGATGGCATATCATCTCAGGACAGGGTTTTAGCATCGTTTCCGCTCTACAATTCGACTAAAGTTCAGAGCATAACTTCAAGTGGACATAATATTTTCATTAGTTTCACTGCCGAGGGCTCGACTGATACCTACGCTCTTGTCAGAATCACTTCTGGAACAGGTTTGTGTTCATATTCTTTTGCTAGTTTAATTGATTAGTTTACTTATTTAATATCTGACTAAATATTGTCAGTTCATTCCAAAATGCCTCTATATAGTCCGTGGTATAGACCCCCTTTTATCAAATTATTATAACATAATTAAATAGACAAAGTTTTGCCGACCTACAGATTGAAAACTCTCCAATTCAAAGAATTTTCGTAAATAAAATATTTGTAGGTTACGATGAAATGAAGCTATTCACAAAGTTTCAGGCAGATGTTAATAATTCGATAAAAAGGAGTCTGTACCACGGTCTAATATTTCCACTTTTATAGATGTTAACGTTAAAGTATGTATTTTCTAATTTCAGTCATATTCATCGATGTAAAAAAGTCATTATGTGCAACAAAATTAAATAAACCCTATCATATGCCAATTATAGTTGTACTAGAGTTCAACAGCAATTATTTGGCAGTTCGAGGGTGAACTCATGCTTATTTGATACTCACATTTTGTTTCTTCCTTAAAGTTCCGGTATTACTTACAAAATATTCAAAATTAAATACATATATTGAAAAATGATATTGTAATTTTCTAATTTATATGAGTGGGTTGAAATTTATTTTGTGCCAGACCCATAAATGACCCATGACCCTGCTCTGTCCTGAATAGGTTTAGTTGTTCTTCTAGAGCAGGGATCTCCAAGCTCACTGAACTTAGTGGAGGTGTCAATGTTTGGAGGCCCTCCAAGCAACCTCCCATAGAGCGTATACTGCCATATATTTTTCTAAATTTAAAATATGTTTTTATCAAATTATTCAAATATACAAAATAAATAGTAATTTGAAAATATATTTGAATAACTTATTGAAAAACCAAGGAAACTAAATATATTAGTCTGTGGTTCAAAATCTTTTTTTATCAAATTATTAACATTCGCCTAAAACTTTGTGAATAGCTTCATCTCATCGTAACCTACAACCTTTTTATTTACGAAAACCATCCCTAAGCGTTTTCAATCTGGAGATCGGCAAACTTTGTCTATTTAATTAAGTATTAAAACTCATGTAAGCTCATTTTCTTCCCACTTGAATTGTATGATAATATGTTAACAAAATCAAGAAAAAGACTGGCTTACAAAAATATTGTGTCATTTGGCGTGATCTTCATCCCCAACATGTCAGAATAATGAGGTTATATAGATCAAACAACCCAATATTTTTGTAGGCCACCTTTTATTTTTTTCAATTTTGTGATAAAATTATCTTACGATTCAAGTGGAAAGCAAATGGATATTTATTAGTTATTAGTATCTCATTAAATTAATTAATTTAATGAGAAAACATCCCATTTCTGCAAATTTTTGTAGATAAAAAACTTGTAAGTTAAGATAAGATGAAGCCATTCGTGGCATTTTAAGAGGATGTCAATAGTTTGATAAAAAGGGTTCGGTACCACGGCCTTTATTTTTGCCTAAAAATCTGATCCATTCTCACAACTTCTTATTAATTAATTATTGTTAAAATTGTTGTTTTTAGATAAGTGGGTGGATTTGAATGTTACTGATTCTACTGTTGCTGATAACAAGGGAGTTGGAATATCTATCGAAAATCTCAGAAGCAGACTTAACATTCAGAGATCATCAGTTTCCCATAGCGACCACATCGCAGGCGTTCACGTGAAAAATGGTGCAGGACAAGTGAACATCAGTGATTCGAGAATCGCATTTAACATCGGAGATGGCGTTAATATTACTTATGCTGGCGGGTCGACGAACATCAGTAGATCATCTCTTTCTTCTAATTTAGGACACGGAGTGGCTGTATGGTACAATAAAACCAGAGAAAAAGAACACATCGCATTCAACCATAGTGTTGTTTTAGAATATAGTGAAATTTTTAAAAATCTTGAGAAAGGTATATTAGTTGGTAATTTTTGTCTCGATTCAACGATAAACGTGACTGGGAACTGGTTTAACCTGAGCTTGAATACAGCAGTCGAAGTCGAAACTTGTTTGAAACCTTCTTCGAAAATACTCAAACTGTATGTTGGTCATAATATATTTGTTCAAAATAAGAGGCCAGGTGTGAAGATCAGGCCAGCTGTCAATTTAGATGGAGTCATCGAATTCAATAAATTCAAGGAAAACACATACGGTGGAATACTTATTAAAAATGACCCCAGTGAATTGTACGGTATCTTGCCCAGTACCCTTTTAATAAAGAACAATGAATTTTACAATAATCAAGGAATATACGTTGTCAATATCGGACTGTCTCCTTACAGTGAACAACAGCATTTACTTTTTACTTGGAATTTTATTAAAGACAACAAAATAAAGGAACCATTTAACAGTAAGTCAAATGATACTCATATTTTATGATACATTAATGTTTTTCTTACATTATCATATTTTATTTAATTATAAATATTTCCTAGACAACGGTGAAACGAAGGTTTTGACCCCTAGAAGTAGAGTTGCTGCACCGATCGTTATCTCTTCGGAAAATACTGACGTTTTTCGTAATATCATTCAGAATCCTGACTCGGAATATGAAATTGGTGTGCACCTTCAAGATCAAAGCCAGACTATCAATTGTTCTTACAATTGGTTGGGTTTCGGAGATGAAGAAAAAATTTATTATAGATTATTTGATAGGTAATATCTTAAATTTATTTCAAATATAAATATTCCTCTTTGATAAATTATTCTATATTATGAAGTATGAATATAGTTACTTTTTAGGTTCTGAATGTTTCTTCTTTCTCCTAGTGTGTTTATTTTATCTTTTCTTTAATATGGAGAAATTATCAATGTTTCGGAGTATCTGTCCCATCGTCAGGAATTCTCTAAAACATAATTATTGTCATTATATACATATATACAAGTTATTTAATTTAATTGGTGGCTAAGGCGTGTGCAAAATACAAGTTGCCTGGCAACCAACCACATGATAAACCAAAGTTACAAGATACAAAATAATTACGAGTTTGTGGACCGTTACCAGGGGGAAAGGGAGAGATGGATTTGAACCCTGGCATTAATTTCCTATCCTCTCTCTTGCCCAGGAAAATCTCTGTATAGCCTGAAAGGCAAGGAAGGGATGTGGTGGAAAAAAAAAAGTTATTTAATTTATAGAAATTTATCTCAACATTTTGTTTATATTTATTACAATTTTAAATAAAATGTAATAAAAACATCATGAAATTTAAAACTGTAGTGTATATTAAAAAATTATAAAATAAATTATTATAGATTGTATATATATGTATGTAATAACAGCAATTATATTATAGAGAATTCCTTCCTAATAATGGGGTAGAGCTCCAGAGCTCCGAAACATTGACGGTGTTACTATATTAAAGAAAAAAATAAAAGAAATTCACCAGGAGGAGAAAGAAACATTCAAAACCTAAAAAGCATAAATATCTTCATGGTTTTATGAGATTTTGATTCCATTTTATACTAAGATTAGAAAATTTAATGAAAAAAATATAATGTAAAGGTTATTTTCAATTTTTATTTTTTTTAATGAGGTGATTGTTTTAAAACCTACTCGATCCACTTCTTTCACAATTTTTTTCCTTTTTATTTTTCATAAGTTCTACATCATCTAACCATATTAACTTAACGCATCATAATCCAGTATGAAAATGTATTTATGCTTATGGGATAAAATTTTAAAATTTATCTCACATCACCTTATTTAAGAAACAAATTTAAAAAGTTATATAATTCACTATTGTTGTGGATTATTATTATATTTTATCACACTATAAACTAATAATTTAATTGTTATTATTTTTACTTTCAGGAAGGACCGTTACAATCTAGCAAAAATTCAGTACATACCATTTCTTTTACATAGAAGTAATCCCGGAGCAACTACTATTATGAATTACCAGCGGTACGTTCCTCAGTTTTATATTACTACAGGAAACTCGGTCGGTGGAGAAGTAGATGGAATGGAAAACTTGAGATCTGGAGAGTACAATGTCGTCAGAGATATCAACGTGCGACCTGGAGGTCGACTAATCCTCGAACCTGGAGTTACATTGAGGTTTGATAATCAATTAATTGTTTTTTGCTATTAATTTTTATTTAACGATATTACTTCAATAAGTAATTAATTTAATAATCAATATTAATTCTGTTCACAGATTTCCTCCAGGTATTGGAATGATGGTTGCCGGTTATTTGGAAGCTAGGGGAAGAGGTCCTAATGATATTCTTCTTTCGATGAAGGAAGAACTTCCGATTGAAGAAAGTACTACACTAGAAGAAAACTCAGATGTTCCTATTACTCCAACAAAACCTGAGCCGAAAATACGTCTTATTGGTGGAACGACATCTTATGAAGGAACTCTTCAAGTGAGTTTCATTACAAAATTAATTTTTTCTTGCTTCATCGTTTGTATTGTAGCTGGTTTTCATTGTGATACATGATATAGGTATATAGGTAAAAACGTTTTTAAAAAAAAATTAATAAAATGATTTTACTAGCCGATTCTTAAAAGTATGTTTCAACATGCAGGCCTCCCCTAAGTAAGAGAGTAATGGTTTAATTCCCCATGGATACAAGCCGTATTGGAAAGTACGGGCTGGTATTCGATCCTATGAATTTTACTTTTCTAATATAAATAATAGTAAAATGATTAATGGATTTCTATTGATCAAGGATCTGAATTTTTAAATGATATTGCATTTTAAAAATTAGTCTGAAAAATTATAAACCATGGATTAAATCCAATATTTGTGTGCCTATTATGTTTTGACCTTCCTCTAAATCATTTCTTAAATATAATTTACTATATTTATTACATTACCAAATATGTATGCGTATGTAACATGAGTAATGATGTATAAATTCAAATTAAAGACAAATAATAATTTGGTTATTTTTGGAAGATTCATACTTTATTTTCTTGTAAATATGATATAAATACATTTTATATTTTAATATTATTAAAATATAGGGTAAGCGCACCAGTGATGGACATTTTTGTCATTATTGTCTTATGCCATCGTAATTATTATAGTTATAAACTTCTCCGTTGGACATTTAGAATCTCTAGGGTTCCCTTTTTCTATTTAACACTTGAATTGAAAAAAAAAAAAAAAAAATTCAGTTATGCAGTTATAATCTCCATTAAAAAAAATATATATCTTTTTGCACTAGTTATGGACAACCCGAAATTCAATTGTTCTAAGAATAGACAAAGGGATGGTACCAATAATGGACATACCTCAGAAAAATTTTAAAATCCTGATTTAACTATAAAGATATGATAAGATAAATGTTCAACTAACTCTTAGCAAAACTGTTAGTAGGAAGATGTGAAACACACTGATCTCAAGAGCACTATAGAAACAACAATGATAGGCATTTTAAAATTTTCTTTTGGGAACTTATTCATACAGTTGTCAATAGACCGAATTGTTCTTCAATCTAGGAAAAACTGGAACCTTTAAATCAACAAGGAAGCTTATTATTTACATTTAAAGTCCAAATAGTCCATAACTGGTGTGTTCACTCTATTTGGAAGTGGTTTTTAGGGAATTAAAAAAAAAATATAAATTCTAAAGAACTCAGATTACCGAGACTTAACAATGTCAAAATTTTTATTTTTATAGGTTCTACCATTTGTTCTGTTAATAGACAATAATAACCTTGGTTCATGATTAGTAAAATATTTTTAATGTTTTATTTAAACTGATAATTCTTTTTTAGGTTCAAATTGATTCAAAATGGGGTACGGTGTGCAACCATCGATGGACCGAGAGGGCAGCCTCTCTTGTTTGTAAGCAATTGGGTTTGGTTCTCAACCCCGACGACTGGCTTCTTTACGTTTCAGACATTCCCCATCCTGGAACAAACGACCCTATATTATTGACGTAAGTATGTTACTTATATCATTTGAATACAATGTAACATCCCTCTTATATTATACAAATAATAATAATATAACCTCAGAAAATCACTTTATATCCTTAGGATACTTCCAAAAGAAATAAGAGGTTGTTAAATAAAAAACAAAATTATAAGAGTATTAATATATTTATTTATCTCAGGTGTGGGTTACCGACAATTAGATCAACTCAGACAAAATATTATTATTTACACTATTTATACTAAAATTAAACACTGATTTTAAAATAAAGTCAAGTATTAATTGACAAGCTAACCTTTTTTCTATAGATACTGTTTTTTCCTTTGTTGCTCTAAATTCATTTGTCTTCTAATGCCTTCTAAAGTTCTGCCAAACACAACTTCCAAGATGGTAATACTATTACTGGGTTTTACCCACTGGAGCCAGGAACTTCTCCTTTACTCTCTTCACTGCAGTCACACAACAACTGCTTACCAAATCAAAAACCTTTGTCCCTCTCCTCTTAGGGATTTTCCTTCTCGGGAAACTACAGAGCAGCCATTTTCTTTTCTCTGCACTAGTAGAACTAGATTAGCTTGCCTTTTAACTGTTGAACATTAATTTATTAAATCATTTTTACCCACTTCCAATAAAGGTCTATATTACAACAATGATGGGTGATGTTGTTATTTAATTTTTTTTTTCTTTTTAATTTAGAAACGTTGAGTGTGATGATGATGATTTGGACATCACTGAATGTAAATCACAGAAAGCTTCAGAATTCGTCCATTCTTGTACACACATCCAGGACGTTGTGATGCGGTGTTATCCTCCTTCTTGGGCCGGTGTGAGGTTGGGCGTGCTCGCTGAGAGAAGCCATCTTCAATACATCACCATTCAGAATGCTGGCCTTCTTGATTATGAAACAAGCGAATTCAAACCTGGTACTTTTACTTTCTTATAAATTTTAAATTGCAACTGTTGAAATAATTTACGGTGTGTCCTTTTTTACCATATATTTATTCTAAGAGAAGATTGATGGGGGTGATTAGTAAAAAAAAAAAATGTAAAAATTAATATGGGTGATAAATATCCAGGAAGCAGTCATTATAATTTTTTTTAATTTGTGCCGACATTTCAACCCAAACCTGTGTGTCATTATCGGGGCTGAAAATTTTAAAATACAATCAGAGATATAATAATATACGTCTGATAATAGTAAATAATAAACTATAGTGATTGATGGTACATGAATCTTAACTAATATTACAATACACAATATTAAAAATGAAATATAAAAAAAGTTATACAAACTAAAAATAATGTATATAATCCATTTATAAAAATTTGTAATATTTTCACTTACTAATCGTGGTTCCAGCACTGAAGGTTTTCAAGTACTGACACATTTGGTAGGTAAGTGCACTGGCGGATCTACGGGGGGAAACTTTCGGGCTGAAGCTCCTCCCAAAATGGTAAAATATAATCACGTTTTACAGAAAAAAATATTAAAAACTATCTCTTAAAGTATTCTTGTTCATTTAATTACATTTAATAGGACTTCAACAACCACTTAAACACCATTTCATATAGGTAGTTAATTTCTTTCTTTTTCTTTCAAATTAATTATCGTTACATGTATATGAAAAAAAAATCTCTCGGGCTGAAGCCCCCCCAAAATTATATCTTGGATCCGCTAGTGGGTAAGTGAAAGGGTCGGGGAAGGAATTTTCAGTTGTCCTTTTTCAGATAGCAAAAGGTAGGTAAACATAGTCAGGGAGGGGGAGGGAGAGGGAAATAATGTTTCTGTTTGTAGAATGTAAATAAATTGCTGACTAAATATTCAAGATGTGTACAAGATTTCCGTTGTATCTTATGGTTACAGAATTATGACTATTGGCTAGTAATGAAATGAACATAAGCAAGAGGTGCCAATCAATATAAATATAACATAGTTTGATTGAAGGTATGCAATGGTTAGCCAAATAATATTTATAATAAAGACAATTGTAATGGATTGAAATGATACGTAGGACAATATATTATATAATATTTTAAGAATAACAATATTAATCATAATAGAAGTATGTATTGTATTAAGGATTACATAGTTTTAATAGTATAAGTATAAACATATCTGTGCCTGTTTATAGTATATATATAGTGGTTGAAACGTCGGCACAAATAAAAAATTTTGATAATGACTGCGTCCTGAATATTTATCACCCATGATATGTAGACAGTCAGCTTCTAGAAGAACAGCTCCCTTCAATAATTCAGTAAAAATTAATAAGTATATTCCTTATGCTTATATTTATTATTATAAATAAATATATTCATTTATTTTTACATTTTTTTTTCACTGATCACCCCAAACAATCTTCTCTTCAATTATTCACTACAGTCAATCATCAATCCACAATCATATATTTATTCAATGCTTTTTATTTATATGGCAATCACACAATCCTCAGGCCAATCTAAAAAGACCTAATGAAAATTACCATCTTACATATCATTTAAATTATAAATCATTTAAATCTTAATTAAATAAGAGAAGGAATTAGTCGAGGGTGCGGTCAAAAAATAAAAAAAATTAAAATATATAAATAATTTTATATATTTAATTATAATTTTATATATTTAAATATATTTATATATTTTAATTTTTTTTATTTTTTGACCGCACCCTCGACTAATTCCTTCTCATATCATATCAACGGTCAACCAACTCTACATCTTAATTAAATAATGATTATTTATTAATAATTTTTATTTTATTTTATTTATTTCCCTACCATTACGTGTTATACTTATATATTTTAATCTTTTATAAGAGTCTTAATTGTCTTAAACCGCCATATTATTGGTGTTATTTATTTTTTTATAATTTATATATTTTATTTTTTAGAATTAATTAGACCAATTATCACCAACATTTTATTGATACGCATTAATGTCGACGTTTCGACCATACTAAGGGTCATTTTCAAGTCTTGATCAGTCCCTCCAGAAATGACGTTGGCGAAACCCCTATAGAGCATGACAAATTAATGTTCACTGAACATGTTAATTACGACATTATTGATGAACATATAACGGAGGACTCGTCAAGATTTGAAAATGACCCTTAGTATGGTTGAAACGTCAAATTAATGCGTATCAATAAAATGTTTATTGATAATTGGCCTAATTTATTGTAAAAAATAAAAAACTTCAAGACACAAAAATTAGGAAAAATGAATAGAAGATATATATTTCATTTAATATTTAATTTCTCTTTATTTTATAATAATTTATTAATTACTTTTAGCATTACAAGTTGATCTTGCAAGACATACTTTAGAGAGTATTCGACTTACGGATAATGCTCATGATGGACTTGGAGTAGTTTATTCTGACATATTTTCTTCTGGTTCTGCAAATATGGTGAAGAATTGTGAGTTTAGTGATAACCGTGGCAGTGGAATCAGTTTTAAGCAAGCTGGACTTAAAATTAGTGGTAAAATTATACTTCAAATGTAAAGATTTTTATTTCTTTAAGAAAATATAATATTTAATATTAATATTTCTTTTAGGTTCTAAGATAGAAAACAATAGAATCAGTGGGATTCGTCACAATCCTGTCCTTTCTGGATTACAGCAAAGGGAAATCGCAGGTTGGTTTAAACCCGTTTCCGATCTTTCTGCTCAGTATAAACCGTACAATCCCATATATATACCTTCGGCTGACAAAACCATTGAAGTCGAAGAAGGAAGTACTAAATATATTATTACACAGCGTGTTGTTACCGATGCCATCCAAAATACTTATTACATCAAGGTAAACTTTATTAAACACTTTAACACTAACTGATCTGTATTGTTTTTATTTTTTAATAATTTATTTTTTAAATCTAAATACTATTAATTAATTTAAGCCCCTAATGTAAGAACCAGTCAAGTCTGGATTCATGATTTTTAGTTTAGAAACTTATGAAATTAAATAAAACACCTGGAAGATCCACTTCTAATTTTTTAATGAATCATTTCATATTTTCATCCAGACAGATAATAAAGTTTGTATTGGTTAATGATGTAGCCTGTCCCATATTATTTACCAAACAGGAGAGAATTGATGTTACGTGTGTACCCGTTTCTTACATCAATTTTAAAAGTTACATTGTAAAAAAAAAATTAAAAATTTGGGCTAACCTAATTCTTGCATCGAGGTTCTCAATCACCAATTCTATTGATTTTTATAATGTAATAATATATTTTTATTAAATTATTCATATTATATTTTATTCATTACTTTAGAGCCCACCTGGCTTCGTTCTTGGAATCCAACTCTTAAATCCCATTCTTAATCGGAGCACGGAGAGCATAATAATCCATGATGCTCCGGACCTTAACAAGCGCTCAGTGAAGTGGGACCTGTCGAGAGATTTGAATGTGTTTCCAGCGACATCTAGCTCTTATGGTGTAGTACTGCAATACGACAGTGGTGTCAATGCGCTTGGAACTGCAGTTCTTGCATTTTCTGCATTTAGAGGTAGTGTATTTATTGTAATTTAAACTTGCATTAATTAAGGACTTTTAGTTTAGATAAAATATAAATCTAAGTTTTTGTTTTAACAAAAATTAAGAAATGTTCGATGAAGCCACATTTAAAATATCAATTGCACTTATTTAATATATTCATCAATTTTTTTTTTAAAATTGAAACCAATTGTTAAATTTGTTTATTTGTAATATATATTTTATGTAGAAAATAATTTCATCCTTATCCTCATTTATTTTGTATTATTTATTGTCCTAGGAAAACATTTTAGTTATATTGATACATTACTTGACATATAATGATCACTAACAAATATTTTTCCTAAAAATTTATTTATATTTGTTCTAATATTGCTTTGGTTATTGTTTAGTGTAATCACAAATAAAATAGCATTAAGCTTATTATTTTTTTTTTTTTAGCCCAACAATATATGCTTCTCCATAGAATCTTTAAAGGACCTATTCCTACTTTATATGTTCATAATTCAAGAATTAAAGGAAATACTCGTGGTATTTGGGCATCATATTACAACAGGTAAGCTACATATTGGTTAATTTATTATTGTATATATCAATAATACATCAAATCTTACATTATATTTATGCATTTTAAAAGAAAACTTGTTGGCTGATGCTGTGGATATTATGCTCAATGTCACAGAAATATCTTAACTACGATCCAGGTTTTGTTATAGAAACTGAACTTTATAAAATAATAAAACAAAGTCTGTGATGATCCTCTCTGGTGGTTAAAAATCAAACTATATATCTACAATTTCTATGAAAATGCTTTAATTGAGAAACTTGATAATTTAAAACTGCCTTTATACATCAATATCTACATTAATAAAAACTTAAATGTTTGTTTGTTTAAAACTATTAATCTCCGAAACTTCACTGATTGCTTTGAAATATTGACATAACGTTTCTATCAGATTCAGAAGTGTTTTTATATATATTTAATTACCCTCTGGTCTTTCATTTTGTAATGGTGGCCGAAAAACGTGTGTCGCTATAAACTGTTGTACCTAAACGGCTGTAATGAATTTAATTAAACTTGGATAAAGTCTTCTCCTTGAAATCCTTTTAATTAATGTATATAATATCCTTCCCCGAAAAGAGTATAAAAAAAAGTTACAATACATTCAAAACTATATTTGTGAATAACTCAAAAAGTACAGAATTGTTGTTTGATTATTTGAAAGCTTGCTGAATTTTCTACAAATTAAAAAAAAAATAAACTCTAATCGGATGATTTGCTGCAGAGATGTATTGTTTTACTTACTTTAAGTACTTTTTCTTTGGAGATTTAGAGACAAATCGCTTCTCACATGGGCAATTATATGTTGTGTGTTCTAGAGTTGGAAAACCATACAATTTCTTTTTCAAGTTAATTTATTATTAGAGTGCTACCATTGGGTAGTTACTCAGCAAGTGTATTCATGTCATTATATCAATTATGTCCAAATTTACTTGATGTATTTATGTAATACAGTTGTAAATGTCATAAAGAAATAAAAAAATTTATTATTAGCCATATTTACACCAATTTTAAAAAAAAATTTGTCACTTAATGACTACTCATCACAATGACGACGTTTAGGTACATAATAAGAATCTTTATAATTTGAAATATGTTAAAGTTAATATATGATTGTAAATGAAAACAATTTTTTAGACTTGAAAATGGCTCGTCGAGCCGAAACGTCGTCATTGTGGTGAGTACTCATTAAGTGACAAATTTTTTTAAAAATTGGTGTAAATATGGCTAATAATAAATTAACTTGAAAATAAATCGTATGCACTGAAGAAGAAGTGAGAAATATTGTGCATACAATTTCTGTTTCTATACAAAGAATGGAAGAAAAAAAAAATTGTATATCCATATGTATTCCAAAATTAAATATATTACAAACATATCTACTATTAGAATTAACTAGAAACATATCTATACTAGAAACATCTGCTTTCTTTTTTATTTATTTTTCTATTCAACCAGACTAAGGCACAGCAACACATGGTCGTATACAGCTAGTATTGAATAAATTTGGTATTGACACCATATTATGGACCTTCTAAAGGCATCTTAACAGATTATTTATTTTTGTAGATACATTACTGAGGTCGGTGAGCATTACTTAAGGAAGAGTAATGAATCTATTCAAGTAATTGGCTGCGACATTTCTCATAACAAAGGAGAAGCTGTTCTTATAGATGCGCCACATTGGAGTGTCACTCCGTCAAATATTTCGGAAATAACAATAATTTTCAATTCTACTCTAATCACGGACAACGGTAGAGGGTTCTTCCAGTTTAGCAGGTCAGTATTCATTCTTTAAGATAATTAATTTATATCTGTTTTTATTAGAAAATATGTTATTTTTTTATGTATAATATTATATGTGGTTTTTAATGCATTCTTCAAAAGAGACAAAAGGTAAATTGTCAATATTAATATATTGCATGAAAAACTATGCATGTAATGAAAATGTGAGATATAGTTGAATAATGAAAAAATTTATAATATTTAGGTAGAAAGTTAATGATATTTTATGTTTCAGGGACTTGCGAAATTCTACTAATTTATTTCATTGGTCTCTCAATGATAATTCCGTCGAACGTAACTTATATGGCGGATTTGAAATAAATCTGCCATATGTTTGGCAGTATAATGAAAACTATACCCATTCTGTCAGTATACGAAACAATACCTGGCGAAATAACCGTAACTTTGGAATTATGATTGGTGGTCATTTCTCTCGTGTCAACTTTACAGACAGCGTTTTCGAAGAAAATGTTTGCAGATCTGGTCTTATTTCATTTCAAGGGATGGAGAAAACTTTGAAGATAAGGAACAATATAATTCAGAAAAATAAAGGAATTTTTATGATTGAATTCAAAGCCGACAGTCAATCTGAAATCATGGGTGACTTGAATGCTAATTTCATGTATAATTTAGTTAAACACAACGAACCGCCTACTCCAGAGGTAAATGAATCATTAATTTGATTTTTTTTTAATTTTTACATTAAAAATTATAAATTAAATAATTTAAAAAAAAATGTTTACAGACTCCATCGAGTGTTATTTTGTTTAACGGTGTTCAAAAAGTTAAGATAAAAAGAAACTTGATATCAGAAAACACTCTCGGATATGCCGTGGTTGCCGGAGTCAGGACAGCTCGCCTCGATTCGAGGATAGACATCACAGAAAATTGGTGGGGCACGAAGGACTTGCTCCAAATTAAGCAACAGATTTTTGACTTTGATGATTGGAATGATCACGCCATTGCTGAGTATCTTCCGTTCTTGATTGAAGATTCGTTTGATGGCTCCATTTCTGTAAGTTTTATTTTTTATTAACTTATTCAATTATATTCATGAAATTATTTAAATATATTTTACCTCTAATATTCCTAAATGAAGTTATTAAGCTCATTTAGAAATTTCTGATTCGTAGAGGTACTGGTGTGCTTTTTTTTCTTAATTTTCTGATTTGAGATTTATTTATTATTACACTTTGATATCTTCCTTTGTTCTTTTCTCTTCCAGCACTCTAAAAACGAAAACCCTCTTTATACCATTATAAATTTTTTTTTATATACAGGTACTTTTCACTTGATAACCTGTCTGCTTAACGACCATTTACACTTATGGCCAATCGAGTTTGACCTTTGATTAAGCAATTTGACATGCTAGTAATTGGTACATTTGATAATTTCCGAAGATAAATTTAGAGTGAAATATATGTTATAATCATCAACAGGATTTGAAGGGAAAAGGTCTTATTAATGAGATAGAGACATTTTAGCAATTTGTCTGATAACAAGGCATTGCTGAATTAAAATATTACGTCGATGGAGAGCTAACGAATGAAGATTTAATAGAGCTAGATGTGATGAAGTATTTTTCTCCAAAATATTGATTTTGGAAGTTATGGTCACGAATTCAAATACTAAATGTTCTGATAAAGTTGAAATCTAGGATCAGTGAACCTTCAAACTGGTATAGAAAAATTTACTAGGAAAAATAAGATTATAAAGCAAACCTCTCTTATTGGTTTCTTTTCTATTGATCCACCCAGTGCAGTACAATTTCTATTTCATCCATTACCTGCATGCACTGCAGCTCCAGATAACTAAATTAACTAACAATATTGTTTATATATTCATGCCTTTTTATAAATAATTTGAACTTTCTTTACAAAATTATTATAAATCTAAAACAATATCATATTCACAGCGCTTGTGAAGTGAGTAGCTCTACCTCTTATTGCTCATAAAATATTAGACTCATACATACTATCCTTGATGCGAATACATGTACAAAATTATTCATATATTTGAAGTTTTTATAGGTTTAAAATATCTATATGTATATTTTGTCATATTATTCCTATCGAACGATTGAACAATATTTCATCCAGAATAAAGTTTTGTATCACTTTTAAGTGAAATGTTTGGTGAATGTTTTATTATAAATATTGATCATGGGTGATAAATAATCAGGATGCAGTCTTTTTTAAAAAAAAAATTTTAATTTTTTATTTACGCCAACATTTCAACCCAAACATGTGGGTCATCTTCAGGGCGCGGTTTGAGCGCTGAGGTTGTTCAAGTACTGCCTATTTATCACCCATGATATATAGAACAGTCGATTAACTTCTTTCTATGTATGTATATATGCGTCTCCATTTATTTTTATTTTTTTTTTTGTTAATCAAGAAAATTTAACTAATTGATTGTTAATTTTATTTTGTATTGAATTTTGCATATATTGGGTCTGTTTATATATTTAAAATATTTATGACGCAGCAAGTTATTGTAAAATATCTGCATAGCTTTTGACAAAAATCTTAATGCTTGTGGGACCTGGGGACGCTAATCCAGAATTTATCTTTATTTTTTAATTTTGTTTTGCTTTTATTTTTATTGTTTAAGGTAGCACCATGTTAAGGTAAACGGAATTGTGAATAAGAAAATTTTTTAAGTAAAAGAAAAGAAAAAAAAAAATTTATTTTCTGCCAAATAAATAAATATATTGATCTTTCAATTTTAGACCTCATGGGAACCGCCCACGTCGATGGATATTGATTCGTTATCAGGCCGCCTCACTTCCAGTTTGACCATCTATGCTAGAGATCAGCCGTACAAAGTAGTATCAGATCTCACCGTCATGCCCGAAGCAGCCCTAGTATTGATGCCTGGAGTCGTGCTTGAATTCATGCCTAGAGTTGGGATATTGGTTCTCGGAAGGCTGGAAGCTCGTGGAACAAGAAACCGAGAAGTAATTATGAGGCCGGTGTCGTCGTTCAACTCTAATAGAGGTCTTCCTATCGTTGAACAGTAAGTCTTTCTGCACACAACAATAAATTACTAATACTTTTATCTCAACTTGTATTTTTTCTCTAATCTAACGTTTGGGACTTTAGGCCATTATCAAGAAAAATGTTAGGTCATAGGCCATTATTAAAATCTTCTTACAGGCTAATTTGCCTAAGTCTCAAGTGTTTTTAAGTTTTATTATGAAATAAAAAACTGTAAATTTAAAATCTCTCTATTATATCAAAAGTATTTAGTGTGCCATGTAATATTTTATTCTGTTGTTGGCAATAAAAACTTTTCGATATAAAAAAGAAGTAATATTTTATTTTATACATCAAAAAAGCAGGACAGACCGTGACAAAGACACCACACTTTTTATTCCCAGAATTATTTCTCACTTATTATAGTTACTAATTGGCCTACTAATTCTAGAATCACTAATTCTATACATTTTTCTAATGGACAAGATTTTTAATTCTGTCTTCAAAGAATCTCAGACTCTGATAGGAAATGAATTTCTGTAAGGTATTACATTTTGCATCGTTAGTTATAAGTACAGCTATTAGATAATGGTTCAAGATCATGAAAAGATATAATTAGATACTGATGGGGCTAGTAGATATTGAAGAACTTATGATTTATAAAGATGCATATTGAACTTCTGCAATCATACACCCTACTTATTTTTCAAGATAACTGTTATTACTATGAATTAAGTAAATAATTATTCTAATTTTTATAATTTGAGAGATTCAGAATGATCATTTTTTCAAATAATATCAATTTTTCTTAGGACTGTTCGATTGTGCACACCAGACAATTGTACAGGAAACGAAGGTTTTGTTGAGAGGTGGAACGCTACGACTCAGCAATGGGTGCCAGTCTGCGATGAACGTTTCTCCGAGAGAAATGCTCAGGTGACATGCCGACAGATGTTGAGAGATGGTTTAGATGTATTTGTATCCCACGCCCGTAGGTACGAGCTGCACCACAGCGACACATCAAGAATATGGTCGTGGCACGAACCGCTCCAGTGCACTGGTAAATCAGTTCTTTCTTTGCTTTTTCTAAAATATTGGAGGGTTTTTGTTTTTATGCGTGGTATTAATGTATTTTTATATTTTCAGGGGATGAATTAAGGCTTGAAGACTGTGAAATAAGACTAAATGGACAAGTGTACGGGCATATTCACCGCTGTAATTGGGACAGTGAGTTTGTGTTCGTTCATTGCGGTCAACCTATAAAGCAATACAATAACTGGGGAGGGATAAGGTAATGTAAACGAATTTTATATATTTTTTAGTTTGTAATTCATCTTTCCTTAATCATTATCATGTTTTATTAAAAGAAGTGAGACAATATGATACATAAATAAATTTATAAATAAAAAAAGTAAAGGTGGGAAAGTTCACATAATGAAATATTAGAGTTTTCTCAAGAAGTTAAGAGCTGCTAAAAATATGGAGGTTTGCTTAACAAAAAAAATCAAAAACTAAATAAGTTATTTCATATTAATATAATGATAATGTAGAATAAAATATTAAATAAGTAACTAATTAATGTTCCATTGTTGTTTGACTAATAAGCACTAGTAAGCCTTTGCGAAAAATTCGCACTGCATATTGTTATCAAATGCCAAATTAATAAGAAAATAAAATAATACAACGTATCAAAAGATAAAGAAATCAAATGTCACTTTATCAATAAATATACTCAACAAAAAAAACAAAAATTAATTTAAATCTTCATTTTTGTTTGGAACCAACATCTTTACAAATTTCAGAAAGCTGTATCTTTGCTAAAAATTGTCCGATGTCGATGATTTTTTTTTCCTTTTGTAGAGAATTAAGTAATCTTTCATATAATCATGGGCACAACCAAGGGAAAAGTGTGTAATCTTTTAGTTATTCGCAAATAAAGTTTGTTTTCTTTCATAACTTGTTTGCCTGAATTTTCCGGGTGATTGGACTATTTTGCCTGCCTGAAGGAGAAGGAAGCCTTCGATATTAGTGGCTCAATCTTGGGATTTGGTGAAGAATTTCCAATGATGTGGCTTACCGACAAAAAACACCTTCGATAAATTATATAACATAAATAATATAAACTCCTCTCTCGATCATAGATACCTCAAGTCGAAGAAATGAGACATGTATTCAGTGACTGTACTACGATTATATGTTGTACGATGTACTACGGTTGTGTCAATGCGAACCCTATGCCTTGCATTATCTCGAAAATAGTACATGCTTAAACACGCAGGATCCGATAGTTCTGGTGGAACTATCCAGGTCTTGCTGTACACATCAAAATCTTCAAGATCCGATTTGTCCCATATCGATCTACAGACCTACCCACCGTTCCAGTATCGAAGCCTAGCAAAATGTTTGTATCGACTTTATTTATTTTAAAAAGAAAAACAAAAGTGGAGAATACGATTCGCTAACCCACCGTGAAATTCTGAATCCAACGGTATCCCATTCAGGGTATTTGAGCATGACAGGAGCTTATATTTGGTATAAAACCGATTTCAAGCCTTATTGTAATAATATATGTGCGGATATTATTTACTAATAACAGTCATTATAGACTATCGAGTATATAATATTGGTTTGGATTCACATTGTGAATGATATACTATGCGATCTAGAATGTTATGATACAGTAAGCTGTGCTCTTGATCACTGGTACCTGTTGCTTCAAAACTTATATCTGTACCAATATAATTTGTGAAGTTATAAAGCAAAAACTGATCCTCTGAAAGAAACCTTTACTTTCTCTTGAAAACTTATAGAATATAGACTGTAAATCTTAAATTACTAAAATTTTAATCATCAATTGAATAATTTTCATCTAACTCTAGCTGTCATTGAACAGGAAAAATCAGTTCACCTTTTTTCACTATAGTCTTTTACACTGATCATTCTATAAGTAGAAAAAAAATGATTTTTCTCATTCTAATAAATATTGTTTTATTATTGAAATTCTCGTTTCCATCCCTATTAACTTTGGACTTGTTTTATTTTCAGATTTGCAAATAGTGATTTCGAGCAAAGTGATTTTGAAAATAGAATCCACGATGCCGTTACCCACACAACTCTGACAAAGCGAGAAAGTATTTTGGAATTTGTTAACATTACCGGAGCTGGGCTTCTTCATAGCCAGAAATCACCTGCGATCTTGTCCATCTCAAGGTCTCCAGAAATCAACAATGTAAATTTGACTCAATCTGTGGACCATGGAATATCTTTAATTTCTCCTACAGAAAATGTTAAACTGTTATTTAATTGGTACGAATGGCTCTTTTATTTTTTATAGTTTATAGCATTTCATAATTTCAAAAATCTAACAATTTTTTTTTCATAGGATTCAAAATAATCTAGGCGTAGGAATCAGTATTTCCTCTATAACCGGTGAAGGAAGAGAAAGTGATGAAAGTTCTTTTACTCCTCTGAAAGAAGTTTTATTGCCTTACAGAGCATTCAGTCTTATCGACATGTGTGACCCTGCAAAAGAGCTCTTCGTTCAAGAAAGAGTTATTCTTTATTATGTATATGACAACAGACCGATTAATTGTGTTAAAATATTTTACAGTGCACTTAGACTGAAACCTTTCGGATTCCGGTAAGTGAAATTAATTCTATATATGAAGAGTTTATAAATATTTATTTTATCCATAAAATAAAGCTTTTTGTTGATAGACACCTCATACTCAAATTTCACATATTTAAAATAAAAATTCAATGTTTTTAAAGTTGACCTATACATGGCTATCAATCCATATTGAGGGCCAAGAAAATAATTCAACTTTGTTACTTGAGTTGACCAATGTTCGAATTTATGTAACAAATTGATTTGTTTTATTTAAATATTATTTAATATTTCATTATTAACTTTTTTAACTGATTATTATTTTGTTTAGGCTACTCCAGTTTAACCTGTACAATTCGACTGATCGATTAGACTTGTTTGATGGCGGACTTTATAACCGATCGATTAAACATTTGACTACCCTCGACTTCAGTTCTCAAGCTGGAGCAGATAAGAAATTGTATAAAACTCAAAGTTCTAGTTTGAGTATCAGATTGGTCGCAAGCGCTGCTTCACGCTCCTATGGTTTTATAGCGGAGATCGTCACATTACCAATTTCTGCCATTGGGTTTAGTATGTATATTATTTTTTTGTTAAAATTTAATCAATGAATAGGACGGTATTTATCAAAGGGAATCAATCCAATAATAGTATTATATTTTGAGTGAATTATAGTTGTTTTTTTTGTCACAAATATAATTTTATTAAGTAAAAAATTAACTTTATTGAATTTAAAAAAAAAAATAATAATGTTGCATTCTATTTCCTTTTTTGTTTTTCAACTTTGATTTTCCATTGGGAGATATTTGAAGCATGAGATGGTTCTATCATGTTAAAAATAGTAAGCACTAATTCCATTCAAAACCATCTCCAACACATTTTTGATTATTTTGTAGATTGGTTTCCTTCTTCTAAATTCCATCCAATTATAAATATTAGTATATTCTAGTTAAACTAATTTTTGGTGTTTTTAATTTACTTTATTTTATATAGAAATATAATGTCTTATGTCAAATTTAAATTTATGAATTATAAAACTAAACCTTTAAACTTCATTCATATTATGGGTGATAAATATTCAGGATGCAGTCTTTTAAAAAAATTTTTCTATTTATGTCAATGTTTCCTTATACTTAAGTAGTACTTGAAAGCCTTCAGTGCTCAAACCACTCTCTGAAGATGACCCACATGTTTGGGTTGAAACATTGACACAAATAAAAAATTAAAATTTTTTTTTAAAAGATTGGGTCCTGAATATTTATCACCCATGATATGTTGAACAGTCGACTTGCTTGAATCAATAATTCATTCATATTAAATATATTTTATTATAAAGGGACAGTAGTCCTAGAATAATAATAATAATATTTTCATTTTCATTACAGATCGAGATGTTCAACACAATATTTCGTATTCACTTATTTCACATAACAAAGGAGGTGGCGTACATTATGTTAGTGCCGGCGAAGTGAATCCGAGAATAACTCTTGAATATAACCAAATAAGGGATAATTGTTTGAAGATGTACGGCAACTTCACGACTTGTACTGCGGCGATATACATGGACCTTCAGAACACTCAGAATTTGCACTTTAGGGTTAGTGTGTGATCTACTTAAAATTAAATGTTTTAAACTTGATATAATTCAGAAAATAATAAAGTTGTATTTAAATTTTGTTTCAGAATAATCTGGTTAAGAGTAACCAAGGAGGTATTAGTATTCAAGCAGATTCTCGAGGCTCGGCTACAGCACTTAAAGGATGGATTCATAATAACCTGTTCACTGATAATCAAAACCTCCCTGCATTGTATGTTGAAGGCAGGCAGAGTAGCCCTTATCAGCAAGTTACCATCTATAATAACTTTTGGACTCGCAACTTGGCCATATACCACAACACTATTGAACTTCTTCAGGTATTTATTTATTAATAAAAAAAGCCATTATTATTTTTTAAGAAAGAATTGTATTAGTGTATTGTTGGCTTTTTATGAAGAAAATTCTTCTATTTTTTAAACTATATACTATACAGAGGGTTTCAGGGTTAAGTGGCCAAACTGAAAATATGAACTAAGGACCTCAAAACAAGAAAAAAATTTCTCTGAACGTATGTTCGCAAACGCTTTGTTTAGGACATATTCACACCTAAAGATTTTCATTGTTATGAATTATTTATGTTATATTAAGAAAATAAAACTTATTTATTTGTTCCAACTACTTTATTAATTAAATGTAAACATTAAATTCATATTAAATGTTGTTCAAATTGATTTCCTTAATTAAGACAGGCTCAGCATCTTTCTTCAACAGCAGCAGTGGCAGAACGGCACTAGATATATATTATTGTTTCACAAGATTCAATTATCCTTCTTCATAAGTAATTTAGGTTATGGACTCGGACTAATTAATAAAGTAGTTAGAATAAATTAATAGGTTTTATTTATTTCATATAACGTAAATAATTCATAATAACAGAAATCTTCATTGTGTAAATATCTCCTAAACAAAGCGTTTGCGGACATACCTTTAGAGGAATTTTTTTTCTTGTTTTGAGGTTCTTAGTTCATTTTTGCAGTTTAGCCACTTAATCCTGAAACACCCTGTATACTAAGCTATAAGCCTGTAAAGGATATGATGAAACTACGGGTGAAAAGAAATGAAAATAGTATTTGTTGATAAAATGAGGAGAAAAAAAAAAGGTTATTTGTGGATGTTGGAAAGAATAAGAAACAACAAAAATGTTTATATTTTTATTTAATTAATTAATGCCTTTGAGTAATGAACAACAAACAAGTTTTTATATAATGATTTTATGACTATTGTTGTTTTTTTTTGGAGTTTATTTTGATAATGGGGCTGAAATGTTAAAATTAATTTCTTGTTAAAAAAATGCTTTATTTTATATAAAGTTAGTCTTTTTTGTATAAAAGTTAATCCTATGTTAATTAAATATAATAATTATATAAAGATCCCACAAAAAATGAATAATCTAACTAATGATGTTTATTTTTATCATAAAATATGTTATTTATTGTTTCACATCTTTAGGATAGTTGCTATATTTTACAAACAATAATAATAATGTCTTTCTTTGGATAAGATACTAGCGACCTCTACTGTTTATTTTAAGAACCTATTACTTCTGATCTTTCTCACTAGATAGCATTCGAGTCAACTTTTTATAATTTAATAACATTGTTTTATAATTCTCCAAGGCTAAATTTTAATTTATGGTTGATTAATTATTGTAAACATTTTAACATCTCAATTTATATGGGAAAAAAAATTAATAAAAGGTTTGAGTCAACTGATAAATTCATTATTTTATTTCTTAGGTTGTTTCAAATTTCACCCTTAATTACCTGTATGAAAATGTTGGAGCTCAAATATTAGAAGTTTCTGGTTTCGATCGTGTACGACTGCCTATATACCAAAGCACCTCTCACAACAGCTTTTTTTGGTATTTTTTACTCTTTATTATTTAAAAATTATAAACTAATTACTATAATTTATAAATAATCATTATTAACTATTTTCCGGTTAATTTTGTTACAGGAATCATGGTGTCGAGAGAGATTCAAAAAGCACTATCGTAGCGGGAACCGCAGGTCAGCAATACGTTGATAATATATTCTTCAATCCTGATAATGATTATGAGATGATTACCGTCAACAGATCATTGTAAGATAAATTTCAATATTTCAAACTTAAGCTAACATTTAAGGCCACTTATACCAATCCCTGGAAGATCCTTCATATTTGCATTGAAATATTTGTTACTTTTAATGACTAAGGATTTGTTTCAAAGCCCCTTATAAGCAAGTAAAATCGATCACATTTCGCTTCATCACAAATGTTAAAATTTATTTTGATGTGTCCAGATGATTGAGAAAATACCCTGAAATGTTGAAGATACAGAGATTAAACTTCAATCAATACAGGAAGATTTTCATTCACAATTTATCTTATATAAATATGAAATAATCTTCCAATATAATAAAATATTAATTTGAATTTTTTTTTAAAATAATTTAAAATATTGGACATGAGGGGTTTCAACATAGTAGTTTTATTATTATAATCAATTATATTTCTTTTCAGATTTGATGTCTGGCAGACTCCTGTCAATGCTAAAAGTAATTATTGGGGTTTTAACACGACTTTATCAGTCATGGGACGTATTAAGGATAGAAGCGATCAACCGAATTTGTTGGAAGTGGAATTTCTGCCTTTTTTGATGAACAATGGTAGTTTATTGGATGGAAAGTGCCCTCCTGCATGGAATCTAGTTGGAGACACGTGTTATATTTATGTCGGTGCTCCGATGACTTTCCACGAGGCTAGAGCATTTTGCAAGGTCATTGCTTATTTTATTACCATTTTGCATCAAATTTAATGTACTTATTTTTTTTATTGAAATGAAAATTAAATTTAAAATAAAAATTTGATTTATACAGTTTAGCTATTAAGATTTTAAAGTTAATTCTAGGTTTCCACGATAAAAATTGATAAAGTACGTCTTGAAATAAATATCTAATTATTACTATGTGAAATGAATTAAAATAGATTTCTGTATTTTATTGTTAGTATAATTTTAATAATAGTATAATTTTATTGTTAGTAAATAATAGCATATTATAAGATTTTACCATATTGACTAAATTCTTTACCATACCATGAGCAAAAAAAAGTATTTTAAATTCGAGTGTAACTTATATTCAATATAATAATTATAATGCAGTTGAATGAATGATTGGCTTTTTTTTTTTTATTTAGATAGCAATAGTAGAGTAGTATGTAATTTGATTATATATACTGGAAACTCAATTGTTTTTTAAAACTATAATTAAAAGTTTCTTGTACTTATCATTTAAAATTTGCTTTAATGTTATCGTATAAATTTTTAATTAAATTTTGGCGACTATACTTCCTTAATTTCACTTTATCAGTCTAAACCGATTATCATTATTTTTTTGATGTTGATGTAGAAGTTCTTCCATATTTTTTTTTTCTGTTCTTGATATGTCTGTTTATTAATTTCTTTGCCAATTTTCATATTTATGCTTATAATTTCAGAATTTTCTGGGAAATCTTTCTTACTTATTTCTTTTAATATTTACTTATCATATAAACATTATTTTCAGGTTGCGAATGCATCACTGCCGTACGTCATGGGAAATTATATTGAAGTGTACAGATTCCTGAAGAAGCAGCAAGAGACCTACCAGTTCTACGACAGAGTTTGGGTTCAACATATTGACCGTATTAATCAATGTACTGCTTTTATGTTCCAACGTATTGAAATTGACAACTGTAATAGGCTGAGCCCTTTTATTTGTGAGATGGGTATGGTGGATTTATATATATATAAAATATTTTTTTAGTATTACCTCTTTTATTTATTTTTTATTGTTTTACCATAAAATCTTCATAATTGATTATAGTACTTTATGTATTAATGATTCTTTAGTAACAGTTATATTTGGTGTTTAATTAAGATTGTTACTGAAATGGTTTTGGATTGATCAACAAGCTTCCCCAACTTCATAGAGTCTGAGTGTTCCCTAATAGGTTTTACGAATGCAAAACAAATATTTAAACCTCCTAAAATAAAAATAATGTCATATTCTTACGACTTTATTTTATGGCTTATAAACTAAGCCAGTGTTCTCATTTTTCTTTTCCTTGTTAGCTAGAGTTTAAATAATCTTAATTCTAATGCTTCTTATCTCCTGTTATTAAAAATTATCCATTGTAAGCGGAAAACTATTTTGTGTTTTTTTATATGATTGATTTTATTTTGTTGAATTGACAAATATAAAATACTAATCAATTATTTTTGTTGAGAATGTATTATTTTTTTAAAAAATTATTATTAAAATTAAACTTACCCAATTATACATATAATTGCAATATACAATACAGATAGGTCTTATATTAAGAATACCTTACATAAGATAACGGAGCTCTTGAATTTTGAATTTATTTGGGTTGCATAAATTTTAAATTTTTATTCGTTCTTAAAAAGTAAGGTTATAAGTTGTATTTAAGATAAGTGGAGTTTAATTTGATTCCTGCAACTAATCCATTAGTTGGCAAAACTTATCAAATTATTATTTTATATTTCAAATGAGTATTAAAGAAAGATATTTATATTTTAAACATTGGCAAAGAATATAAATGTTTTTTTTATCTCTGTAATCTCAAATTATTCTATTTTTTCAGATCCAAAAGTTGTAATCGATGTTCTGAGCTGGAGGTACGATGTTGTTGCTGTCGCTATGATGGGATCTGTTTTTCTTGCTATTTTATTAGTCGCTTTGGTAGCTGGATTCTGGTATTCTAAGTCTCGTCAGCGCCAGGCGCAGCGGTTAGAGAGACGGGCCAGTATTCGACAATCTTTACATTCCTTGAGATCTTTTGGTTCATCTCATGCCTTCTCTGATGCTTACAAGAGGGGAATTTCTGCTGTTAGTATAATTAATAATTATAATAATAAAATGTTAACTGAAAAATTATTATACATACACTAGTTAGTCCATGCGAAAAATTTGCATCGTGTATTGATAAGTTAGCTAATCGTAATATAATGTGGAAACAAGTCAATTTTGGGGTTTCTCAATGGGTTGCAAAGTCTCATTATTGACAATAATAAAACAAAATATGTGTACAAAGTTAGTTATTCTCAAGTTTTTTTACCACGGTATCCTTTTCAGTCTAAAATATTTTTATGGTACTCTTGTCAGATTAAAAATTGTTTGAAGAACTCTTATTGAATTAAAAATTATCGGTAAATAATTAATTAGAAGTTATATTTATGTAAACGGTAGCATTTATATCGAAAAAATCCCCTAAAGTAGTGGTATTTCTCAAAACTAAATGAATCTTTAGAACTTAATAACTTCTAAAGTTTGTGGATTTATTTGGAAATATTCTAAAAATGATAAAGAACCTCTTAATTTTGTTTCTGTTGTATATATCATTTTAATTATTATAAGTAAATTTTTAGTGTTACAAATTGAATATATTTAAATTAAAATCGAATATATATATATATATATATATATATATAAGTAAATTAAAATTGAAAATATAAATTATTAGTTGGCCATGCAAATAGTTTGCATAGTATATTGGTCTGTGAAAAAAGAACAATATAATATAGAAATAAGTTTTTGCAATCTATTATGAGATAGAGCAAATAATTTTCTTTTTCTCAGTTAAATCTCATTATTCATTCGTGATAATAAACAGAAACGAGTACATAACTATAGGCTATACATTTACTAAAAGTTATTCGTATTCAATAATTTTTTGTAAATAATTTAATAATATTTCAAATAATCATGGGTGCAACTATTATTTAATGAATTACTACAGTATATCTTATTTCTTATTGTCATATATTTTCCATTTAAACTAGATGTTTTCTCTTAATTTTATATTTTAAATTTTTTTTTTTTTTAGAGTATTCAGCCTTCTCCAACTCTTAACAAAAGCAGTGATTACAAAAAAATGGCTGGAAGTTTAGACAGCATTGAAAAATCTCAATTTAACTCCTCAAATGAGGAAGAAACTCAGAGCTACGACATTTATGAAGCGCACAACCCTGCAGCTACCGAAGCCATTAACCAGGGTTTTGATCTCTCTTACCGAAATCAAGGTAAACATTTTAATAATCGATAGTATATTCATGCATATATGAGCAGTTTTCTTAGAAAGTGGTTTAAACCGATTTTTACAAAATCATATTTAATGATAAAAATTGACGCAATCTGTTGTGAGCTTTGATCTATGAACAGTTCCTAAAAATAAATCCTTGAAAATTTTTATCGTTCATACATATTATCATGAAATATAAATTTAATTGCTTTGAAAGTAGTGTAAATTCAATTTTTGCAAAGCGTAATGTTAAGTTCAAAAATTATACCACACATAATCACAATAATCTGGTGCATTACGTGCATCACACAACTTTCACCTACCACCCTCTTCTTGGCAGAAATAAGTATTTTCAGAAAAAGGAGAAATGAAAGTAAAAATTATAGACGCTATATTTATATATATTTAATTGTATAAGTACCCTTACATATACAAATTTTAATATTTAGATCGGGTGAGCTAGGGCACTCTGGTATTGCTTCGGTTCCTCAATTATAACTATTCTCCGTTACGATCTCTTATTTCTCCTTTAGTTAATTATCAAATTCTTTCATCTTTTATATTTAACTATTTCATATTATATATATAAATATGCAATTTCACTCTCCTACGACTTTTCGTTTTTGAGCTAGACTGTTATCACACACACACCATTTTGCGGGACCTTCTTATTTGGGCCAAGGAGACCTCAAAACATGTATTTCCATTGAAAACTGAGATTTGAAAATTACTTTCCTCCTTTACTATATATTTCGTATATAGGTAAATTAAAGTAAAAATTATATCAATTATATGCAAAAATTATACCTCTGATTCACATATATATGTGTTTGGGTGTGTGTGGGGAGTGGTAATACTGTTATTGACATAAATTTTTGTTTGTTCACTGAATTGAAATGTTGGCTCCTCTCCAGTTTGTAGAAAAATATAAAACTCAATAGTGTGTACTATTTAATTTAATACTATTAATTGTGCAATGTGTCTTTAAAATGCAGGTTAAGGCCAAAACAACCTATCAACATTTTTACAATTCAGGAATCGTTAGGACTGATATTAAAAAAAAAGTGTGATATGATTTTTTTTTTTTTTTTTTTCTGTGATCATGATACCAGAATTAGTGAAATGTTAACAGGTTATTTTGTTTCTACTTGTATTTCAGAGACATAGGCTGTTTGGTTGGGTTTCTTCAATTATACTTAACAAAGTCTATATTTATATTCTACAAAAGTCAGAAGATATATTTATTTGTTATCTTTAGGTTTCAAAGATAATTCAACATTTACATCGAGGGAAAATAGTACTTGGCATTCAACTGAAGACTACATGAACAATTCTTCGACACTTCCTCTCACTACAAGTTTAGCGATGACCGATTCAACGATGGATATGGGTAGATCGGATTACCAACAAGAACCTGAATATCAGGTAAAAATAAATAAATGATTTGTTTTTCAGATATAACCTTATATTGCTTTGCATAAAGGTAATATTAATTTTTTTTTCAGGAATATTACGTAAGGCCTAAAAGTTCTGCCCTCCTGGAGACGAATCTCGACGATTCGTTACCTCTAGCGCCGACTAGATCTCATTCGGAAACACTTCTTGACTCCGCTCATCCTAATCACCATTATAATGGACAAGATATGTCGACGTTCCAACCGCTTAGCAAGAGCCAACCGCTGGAGACGGCCATGTGATTTTTCGTTAAATCCTTTTATTTTATTTTCACATTCCATTTAAAGGACTGAAATACATTGAGAGGCAAAAATGGCCACACAACATATGATTCTTGTAGTGACTCATTAATTTTAAGCATTCCTTTATTTGCTTTAGAAAATTAACCAACATATCGTCGGTTTATTGCAAAAGTCGTTAATTAACATACTATAAAATTAAATCAGTAAGTACTTCGATGAATTTTCTCTCTGTGAAATAAGTAGATAGTGGACTTATTGTATTTTTGATATGTAAAAGTTTGTTTAATTTTACTCAATAATTGTTTTTTCGCATAAAAAAATAATATCAGAATTCACAATAATTACTTAAAAGTTTAGATCCATCAAAAATATACTTAGTGACTTTTTGGTATAAAACGATGATAAGTTCAATAAGATTTAGATCTGGACTAGATAATGACTTATTTAAATATTATATTGATGCATTTCCTAAGTGTCAAAAAATGGTGGTGATTTATTTTGCTTTTCAATGTATAATAGTTTTAAATATATTTTATTCAATAAAATATATTTATGAATGAATTTTAAGATAACATTACCTTTGGAGTTTTTAAATTTATAATTATAAAAGTTTTGAAGGCAAAATCTTTTAAGTTAATTCATTCTGTTTAACAAAATGTGAAGAAATATTTTAATTAATGAAGTTCTGAAGACATTTACGTTTTACGTCAACATGTCTATAAGTCTATAACTGTTTAGAAAAATATAAACAATTGTTTTTTAAAGTTATTTTAATGGAAAAGAACTGTGTTAAATATATAACGGAGGCTTCTATTACACTCGTCTGATAAAGCTTTATTCAACTAATGTAAACGGCTATTAATAGCAATCTACTCTCTTAATAATGCATTTATTGTATTTGATTATAGTTTATTGAATACTTATTAGTGAAAACCTTACATAATAATTGAATTATAAGAAGGCTTGTGCTTCCAAATTAATTAAGATTATACTTGTGAGAATACAAGTTGGCATAACTTGAAATTTCAAATGTCAGAAATTTTGATAGTTGGATCAATATACACAAATTTGTAGCCTAACATATGTTGTTGTAACCTAAAAAAAATTTTAAGTTACGTCCCTTGAACTCTCGCAGTGCGATAAGTTATTAAAATTAAAACATTTACATAAGACAAAGATTATATGATCTCAAGATAAGATGTATATTTTAAATATTATTACAGGCTTATTTAATAGCCTGTGAAATATATATTATGTTGAAACCAATGCTTTAAATGTGATATTTTCAATATTAGTTATTTTTAGCCTTTCAGGTTTTGGTCTTTGTATATAAATAATTCTATGTATATTCCTGTAAATTTAATATATGTTTGTAAATATGAAATTTTATAGCTGTTGCATAGTTTTTTTTTTTTTTTTTTTGTATATGTGTAAATATGTATTAGATTTTATTTAAAATTTATTATACACTTTGACAATGTGTATAAACCAAGACTGTGAAAAGCATCACACGGACACTTAAATTTATCTAAGTTTATATATAAATATACATATGTATTATATACATAGATACTTTTATACTTATGTATTCGCATAGACAGGGTAATTCATTTAAACTTACACTTAGGATAATAAATATTCTAGTGTAAGTTAAAGTCCCCTGTAAAATATATGTATATATGAAATATTTTGTTAAAATTAGTTATTAATGTATAAATTTATTATTTTATTGGAGTAGTACCATTATTGATAGATTTTGTATTAGATGAAATTGTATTTGGCACTGTTTTATTGTGTGATAAAGATAACGAGGCAGTTAACGACAACTTTATTGATTTCTGCTTAATTAAATGTGGCTATAGAGCCATTTGTTCAGTTTAGATTTTTTTTTTTTTTTTGCAGAGTTTTTCAAAAATAAATTATTTATTATATGGATAATCTGTAGTAGTGGTTCTCAAACTGTATGACCTGGCAATAATATTTTATCTGAAGATTTATTATTTAAATTCAAAATTATAAATTTGGAAAATAGATATTATAGAAATTTATGTTTATTAAACTATAAAATTACTGTTAGAACTAGTTGACCTATGATGTATAATTCGCACAGTATATAAGTCAGAAAACAATTGACAATATAATGTAGAAATAATTTAATGTAATGTATTATGAGATAGAGGAAATAATTTTATTTTTCTCAATGGAATCACATTAGTTCATTCATAATAATAAACCAAACACATGTAAGGCTGTATATTTGCTCATAATGGTCTGATTTCGATGATTTTTTTTTTGTTTTTTAGGGAATTCAATTATCCTTCGAATAATCGATAGTGCAATCAACAAAAAATATATACTTTTTGAGTCATTCACAAATAAAGTTTCTTTTCTTTCATAATTTTTTTCTAAAATTTGGGGGGAATGATACTTACTATAATTCCTCACTCCTCCATGACATTCCCTTTCGTTTGATTCCTCATTCATCAAAATCCATCGCTCCTCAGGACCAAAAAAGGATTTACATTGCAAAAACTACTGTATTATATATAAAGATATATTATTGATAATATTTGGGCAAAATTATATTATATTACCACTTTAAGGTTATATAACCTACAACTTTTTAGTTTGATAAGGTTGCTATGGTAAAACAAGTTTGAGAACAGCTGATCTATATTACTAGTTAAATGAAATGCCATATAGGAATGTTCACAAGACCATTATCCATAATTTGGTCTTTATGAAAGACTGTTAATATTACCCTTGAATGTGTTCATATAATTGTAAACTAGAGAGAAAGCCAAAATGCTGAGCAATGAATTTGTATATATTATGTTTATAAATTTCTGTATATATTTGTCTTTATTTATAATTTTTTAATAAACTCATTTTTTTAATATATTTTATTTTTCCTTAATCAACATAATAATCTCTTTTAGGATATTTAAAGTCAATCGAAAATAAATAACAAAATAAATAAATTAATATATATTATAAATAAATATTTACACAAGCACAAGATAGGTAACTCATGAAATTTGTACATCGTAGCTTTGTCTGGTTTGTTTTTTCATCTTTGTATTATATTATAACTAGTAGAATGATGCAAGTCGGACTTGTTTTTCATATTCTTCGTTCTTTGGATTTTCTTCGCAGGTGTTGCCATTATTCGGAGGCCTCATTTTGTTATATCTGTAATACAAAAAAAAAATTGTTAATGCTTGACTTGAACATTGTATTATAAAAATAAAATTATAAAAATTCCGAACTTTTCCTAATGAATACTTGCAAAAAAAAGAATCATGTAATCGGAACTGAAGTGATTAAGAATATATAAAAGATTGCGCATTTCAAGTAATAAAAAAGGTTCATATTTAGCTAAATACTAGGTATAACTGCATCTAGAATATGTGATGAAAATTGCGGTTATGACCTAAGTCCAGTGTAGCATGACATATATGATGGAAAACATGAGACTATCAAACCTTTCTCATGTCTATTTTATCGACATGCATTTATAAAAGCAATTAAATACATTATATATATTAAAGGAAGGAGATGGTCCGGGGTGGTGGTCATAAATAGGCTAAATAGTGGTAAAACTATTTTATTGAAAGCCGACGTTTCGACCCGACTTTGCAGGTCTTCTTCAGGGCTAGAACGGACAAGATACGAAAGGTAGAGAATTTTGGCAATTACATAATATTTAGACAAAATTTATAAACAATGTGAACAGGCTTATTAAAATTAAAAACAGTAGTACATTAAAATATGAACAAAGTAAACTGAGTAGTCAGCCACCCCATACCATCTCCTTCCTTTATAATGCAACTGTCAACTATTAAATATTCATTATATATATTCTTGATCACATGAATTCTATTGTGGCTCAAATTCTCACTAATTTTTTGTTTCATGCAAAAACTCTTTTAGAATACATTTTTTTTTTTTAAATAATGAAGAAAATATTTTATATACCTAGTAAAATCTCCCTTGCAAAGCTTCCAGGGCAATAAATCTATTTTTTCATGTAAGGTACGTGATATATCTGGTGAAACGTAATTCGGATTCCCTGCTCCTGATCCTCTAGTAATCAATTTCCTCTGCCTGAAAGGAAGTTTAAATTAAATCGAATTATTATATAATAAAATAATTTATTTAATGTTTTATTTTTTTAATTATCCCTTCCTACCTGTTGTAACAACAATGCTGTGCCGCCAAAGAAGTGCTTCCGTGGGCTAAAAGAGACCTTATGCAATACTCAGCATTTGGCTTATAAATATGTAGTCTTTCACCATCTCCGCTCGCATCCTTCCATCGATAGAATCTAAAATTAGATTTAAATAATTTATTGACAGATTTACAAGTTTAAATATACTTTCCTGATTAAAACAAAGAATTTCAATGCTCTTACAGTTCATAAATTAAGGATCCCATTTTATTAGTTACATCAAACTTAAAGGTATGGTTATTTACTTGGTTGTTAGTAAATAAAGTTTAATTCATAAAAGTATAATTAGTTTAAATGTTTCATTTCTACTAAGTCCTCATTCTATAAATAAACTTAATTTACGTTCAGGATTTTTAATAGTTGAACTAATAAACTTTAGTTTTAAATGTTTTGATTTCTTTATTGTACAGAGAAATTAAGTTTCATATAGTGATCAATGTTCAAAAATTGTATTTATCAATACAATTATCAAACAAGTATTCATGAACAATAAATAGTATGGTAAAAATAGAATACTCACCGTTTCTGAGGTTCGTCCCAAATTTTATCTTCATAAAAAATACTTGTTGGATAATTACAAGGGCATGAAGGAAGAGGACCAAGAAATATGTCTTGCAAATGCTTCCGACAATCTAGTAACTAAAAAAATGAATAAGATTATTGTTAAATAGTAATAAACAATATAAAAAATATAATATAGAAATAAAAAACTGTGCTTAGTGAATAAAAATACTGAAATTTAAATTGAATTACTACAATCATAAATAAAAATGACTTGCTTGTTTGGGCAAATTATCACTTACTAGTATCAGAGAAAGGGAGTAAATGTACCCCAACTTAACTTAAAATAAATTATATTATAAATTGAAAGTAAAGATTGCGATAATGCCTTTATTCTTAAAATATTTTAAAAACAATAATATGGTTTGCAACAAAATTTTATGCCATCTCTGTCCATTATAAAAATGATAGATTTATGTTCTGAATATATTTTTCATTATTTGAACACTTCGAAATGAATTTTTTTTTTATGAGAAGGAATTAGTCGAGGGTGCAGTCAAAAAATAAAAAAAATTAAAATATATAAATAATTTTAATTTTTGCCGACGTTTTTTAAATTTTTTTTTTAAACAATTTTTTTTTAAACAATTTTAAAAATTTTGAATTTTTTTTTTAAACAATTTTTTTACCTGAAAGCAAACGTTTAGTAAAAATACTTTTATTCTAAACATTAGTATCAATTAAATATTATAATAATCGATGTCAGATCATTTTTTAAATCTAACTGGATCAGCAAATGAAAAGAATTACAGTGCATTATAAATAAAATTAAGATAAGTCATGCATAAACTTCCAACCCAGCCAACTCAATTTTTAATTAATAATTTTGGAAGCGCACTTGTTCAATCTACACTGGCTTTAGCACCAGTGAAGTTGAGAGAGTAGTGCAGGAATCTCTTGGAGTTCTGGTTTTCGTCTCTATAGTTGGTGAGACAAGCCTGGCTTGGGGTTCCCTTCCTGATTGTATATAGATATGACTGTCTTTTTATGTTTTTAATTTACTAATCTGTAAGTTGTTTTATTTTTTATTGTTATTATTTATTATTTAATTGTTATTTTGCTTTTGTTTATTTTATGTTTTCTGTATATATGGTGTGAATGTGTTCATATCTCACTATAATTATTGTTCATTGTAACAGATCGTTATATTTCTGAATAAATAAATTTTAAAAAATTTGGAAAAACATCATGAACAAAAAAATGTCATTGAAAAAGCAGTTAAATCTGAAGGTACATTTATACATTTTATAATAAATGGGAATCACAATTATCTAACTCAAGGAACAGTGACACTGGTGCTAAACCAAACTATTTATTTTATTTCTCCTGATAGCGACAGCAAATGGGAAATATCAAAAACAAAAAAAAAAAATATATGCTAACATTGTGAAATAACTATTTATATATTTGTTTCACCCATACTTTATGAAATGTTCTAAATACACCTTGATATAACTGTTAATGAAAGAAATCTTTTTATCTTGTAATATAATATAGTACCGAAACTATTAATTAAAAAATTGGGAATGTAATGAGTTGACTCATTTTTCAATTTTATAATTATTTACCAAACAAAAAAAACAATATGGCTGTTAACAACTGAATAATATGCACTCCATAATGTGTACATAATCGTAATTTAATTTTTAAAAATAGTCTAAATGAACTAATTTGTTATTAAATTTTTTTTAAATAAAATTTTAAAAAGTTAAAAGTAGTAATAACACTATTTTTATTAAATATATACTTTTTAGTAGCGTAAGGACCAGTGGCGCTATCTAGTGTTAGCAACGGGTAACTAACAGTATTTTCGGTTATAGTTCTAATAAGTGTATCTATATAGAATCGTTAATAATTAACTTTTGACTTTTATTATGATATTTACAACTGTATTAGTATGAATACATCAAGTAAATGTGTTTAATAATTAAAGTAATAATTTGAGACAAAACATACTTTTTCACAAGGCGTGCTGTTCTCGAGGTGGGCTTTGGAAGGACCGGAGACCGCGCCGATCAGTTTGGACACGGCTGTTCCGAAGTTTATCTTCAATTCGTCCGTGAACAAGTTGATGTCGAAGTCGTAGTCCGTCTTTTGGTCCAACTTCGGTTCTTCCGGAGTGTCCTCCCTGGCTTGGCTGATCTTGAGGCCGATGACCACGTTGGTCGAGTTGTAGATGGTCTCACCCGTTTCCTTCTCCAGCAACGGGAACCCAGTTTCGTTTCCCTCTGAATATGGAAGGTTCACAGTTAACGTTCTCGTGTTGAGCAAGATCTTCTGCACCTCGTCGCCTGGCCTCATGGAAAACATAAGAGGTAAAAACTACATGTACAATTCATTGAGAAAGTATTTATAAATTAATCAAATATAAAATAAAACTTCTTCCATATATTTGAAGTTTGGAGAAAGATAAGGATCATATATCTGTTCTAAGTGATAAAAAAATAATTTAAAACTTTTAACAAATGTTTTTGTATGTATATTTCATTTTATAATGACCAAACCCTTTACAACATGATCATAAATATATAATGTGATAAAAAAAAGTGTTATGGTCTGTTTGGACATTTCAAAAGCTATGGGAAATACAAATATCTAAATGGTTGTTTCCCATTTTTTTCCAACAAAAAAAATTGGGCTTAGCGCTAGTGTCGCTGTAAGTTAAGTTAAATAATTGTTTCCTATAGTTTGTGAAATTTCTAAACGCACCTTTACGTTTAGAAATTTCACAAACTATACACAAATGTGTAATGCATTTGTTTCTTAAAGCTTTATTTTTATTTATTTATAAAGAAAATATCTGTTGTGTCCACTCACACGACTTTCCTACCTATTTCAGAAAAAAATTTATATCGTTACATATGTTCATGAAGAAACAAAAAAAAGAAAAAAATTGAACAAGATTTATTTTACTAAAAAAATGATCAAAGAAAAGATTTGAGTACGATTTATTTGATAAACTAAGGCAATGTAAACCGGCTTAAGGTAGATCAGTGTAAAAATTTCAATAATCTCTTATATTGCTGATCAAAAATTTCAATAATCTCTAATATTGCTGATATTGCGCACAAATGTCTGTCACAGGCCTCAGTAGTAGATACCCTACAAAATAAAAAAAAAAAGCAACAAAATCGATTCAGTAGTTCCCGAGAAAATCTTGGCACAGACAGACAGATAGACAGACCAATGGCCAAAAATGTGTTTTTCGGACTCAGAGGGCTGTGAAACGTATAGATCCGTTGAAAACCGCTTATCGGAAATTTAACCCGATTGTAATACTTTCCTTACCTAGTATAGGTAGAAAAATAAAAATAAAAAAATATGCCAATATACAAAATATTCTTGATTATCTAATTACGAAATGATACAATCAACAAGTTACAACAATTTTCTTAAGTTCTTTTTCGTATCTGATAAAGACTTAATTATCAGTATTATATAATTTTTTAAAGTTGATTTTAATTTTTTTGTCTTTTCATAGTATATTTGTTTATTGTAAACCGTGATAAAAAGTCAACCTCTCTATTATATAAAAAAGTTTTCAGTGACTCTCATATTTTAGTATTTGAAGAGTAGGAGATTACAGGAGCTCTCCTATTAACTCTATAATTAGGTATGTGTTGTGCTTCTGTAATATCCTGTTCCGATACAAAATACAGATTTACACCCTGGTGTCTTCGTTACGGTACAACATATGTATTACTCTCCTAACACAAAATAAAGATTTTAGACATAAATTTGTACGAAAAATGGTATCCATATGGAAGTGATAGTTTGATTTTACCTAGATGACGACAGTAATTTTCGATCTCGATTTTTCCCTCTTGAATACAATATATTAATTATTATATATTATATATAATATTATTTATATTATATTGTGGTAATTATAATTATTATGAAATAGACAAAAACAATATAACGTACAATGAAAATATTAGAAATAAAGTGCTCGAATTGATGTTGGGCTCATATGAAGCTGGGCAAGTAAGCAATTATGTTTATGCAATAATATAAATTGGCAATAAGGTGCGATGTATAATATAGATTTTTAAAGAAATTAAAAATTTGTCCGAACTGTGGTTTCGATAAGTTTATTTTACGTTGATAAAAAATAATACAATCTAAACAATTGAATACATGTAAATTGAAGTTGTACAAATTGAGCAACGAGAAGCACAATTAAATGAACTGTCGTATAATTTCCTGGCATCCTTCCTCTTTCAAGTCATCCAATCACACTGTCCTTCATACATCTCCGAACTCCTTCGATTCAAATCGTTTGTTCATTCCCGCTCTAGGTCTTCAGGTATATACTGAAGCCCACCGAACCGCTGCTTTCGATAAATCTTTTATTATTCGATCCTCTTCCCTATGGAACTCCCCTCATCCCTTCCCACATCCGTCAATCCGAAACCCTTCCTACCTTTAAAACCCGCCTGTTCAATCATTTCTTATCCATCCAGTTCCCATAGAATTGTAAATAGTTACTACTGTAAATATGTATATAAATAATTAGATCGTTCTTCATTATTTTTACTTCAAGTTTATTTTCAATTTTTCATTTTTTTATTATTAACTGATTTAAATTAGAAAGTAACTTATGATTTCTTTTATTTTGACTGTTCACTTACTCTATATTTTTGTTTATGTATCGCTAAGGCTCCTTAGCCCACATTTTTGTCTTTCTGAATTATTCTAAAGGGACTCGCCCAGAATAAATAAAGCATTATTATTTGTAAAATGAGGGTTGGTCCGCCGTTAGGCAGACAGAGGGTATTCCCCTAGTATTTGAGCCGTTTATTTTTAAAGTGGCCTACCTCCATTTATCTTCGAATCGAGATATTTAAGGGTTTGCGTTTCAATGAATTTGAAAATATACGTATAGGATACTAATGAGTCATACTGCTTAAGTGTATCTAAGGATGTTAAATTTATGGTTTCTATTAAAATAGTAACAATTATTAAGTGATTAATGTGCGTTTCCTTATCAAGAATGGAGTTAGGCCACTTTCAAAATTGACAACCAGATTCATTATAAAATTTGAAGGTACCCAAGTCCATTCAACATAATTTAAGATGCTTCAAATTGAAAAACACAATACTCAATTTATTTTATATATCTTTAAAACACTTCGGAAACACAATTTATACAATTCAAAATTTTTTTTAATTACAGAACATACAAAATGTCAAATATTTTACTAACAAACAATTTACTATTCATCTACATTTTGCGAGTGTGAAAGAGATTTGAAGTAGTCATGATGTTCCGGTGGTATATATCGCAATAGGTCAATCATGTCCTTAAATTATGTCGTTGCAATTTGTCTAATATTTTTATAGAGTGGTGTCAATACAATATTTTCGAATTTTCTAGGTCTACCCCGACGTGGTAATAAATTCAGGACTTTAAAATTTTCATTCTCATTCATTATTGTCTTATAGAAAATTTTATTCGGTTCATTTCTGATAAAACGCATCCAAATTATTTGTAACCGGTTTACTGTTTCTCCATCACAAATCTTTACCCTTTTAAAAATTGATTCTTCTAATAATTTTGTTGATATTAAATCTTTTTGTCTCATTTCCTTTACAATAAAATTTTCATTTCCAGCATTATCAATAGTAAATATCTTGATGTAAGTATAGAATAAATGGAGTTAGGTCACATTCAAACTACACCGTCCAGTTATTGAACTAATTCTGAAAACTTTTGATTCAAAAATGTATCGTATTTGCTCGGAATATAGGCAACCTGAAATGTTTTACTGATATATAGTATGAATTTGTTCATATAACCATGGTAACCGGAAAAAAATTGAAAAAACGGAATTAGGCCACTTTCAAAATAAACGGCTCATTTAATAAATTTAGTTCTTCAAAAAAGACGAATGCCGATTTCCTGGCTAAAGTGAAGGGAGTTGTTCCCCTCCCCCCCACTCCTCCTCCCCGAAAAAAGTTTGTTATCTTCGGTGATAGTAGAGGCGATGAACAAACAAAATGTACTACTTCACAAGTATCGCCTATGACACCTGGGCCAAGATCATATCAATCAAACTGCAGATGGAATTCCGAAAGTAGCCTAGCATTGACAGCCATGTATAAGTACCTCCTCAGTTATAAAGAATGTAAGGTTGGCGTGAACGTACTCCGAGGTCATCCTCTTTCTCAGAAATACTTCCCCTCCCCCTAGAGGGTCAACAAAAAGGGTTAAAGGTAGACCCTTGGTACCTCTTAAAGGTGACTTCATTGTAGCGACTTCAAAGAAAAATAACGTACGGTTCAGTTCTCACCTGTTGGAAAGTCTCCATAGTATTCTACATTCCTTTCGTAGAGGTACTTTTCTGAAACCATGAATTTTTTCCTCTACGTTAGTTCATTTTATGACTGTCATACTAATTCTGCCCCTGACTTCCATACTCTTTTTTTATAAATTTTAGAAAGTATTACCTAAATAGGTCTATCCCTTCTCGTATTTATGATCAAATGAAACCAACTGAAGTCCCCCCCGAAATGGTAAAATATAACCATGTTTTAAGAAAACAATTATCTCTAAAATTGTTATTGTTCGTCTAACTAAATTTAATAGGACTTAAAGAATCATTTAAACACCATTTCATATAGGTAGTTAGTTTCTTTCTTTCTTTCCAAGTAACTATCCTATTATATACAAAAAAAAAAATATTTCGGACTGAAGCCCCTCCCAAAATTAAATCCTGAATCCGTTAGTGGTTGGAGAGGAAGGGGAGTTTTATTTAATATGGGGTGAAATCAGGTTATGTGTAATTTATATATATATAATTTTATAACATATAATTTATGATAGCTTTAAGATACGAATCTAATAAAATTTCTTACCAAGAAGTGCGATGGTCCTATTTTGTACTAGATATTGCTTCTCGACGAATCTTCGCGTCGATGAGGTTTTCAACCGGTGCCTCTTTTTCCCCCTCCCGTGGCCAGTTTTCACCTTTTTCTTTCTTCTACCGTGTCGTATGACATCGCCGATGATCTCCTAAAATTAATAATTAAATATTAAATTATTACAATTATTATTCTGACATTCGACAGAAGAATGACATGGGGCCCACATGTCTACAAAAAAAGAAAAACGATAAACCTCAGACTACGACCATTATACTCACTTGTTTCATGAAGGCTAAAAATTAAAATTATAACAGAAACTGAACACTTACATTTATCTACTAAAGCCTATATGGACTTACTCTTAACAATAATATACGGAACAGCCAAAACGACTCACATACGAAAACTATAAACCTATCAGTAAACAACTTTTAGGAACA